TCCCTTATTCCAGCGCCGTTTCCCGCTGCTTCCCTCTGCTATCCTGGATTGTTAGATATCCCGTAGACTGTCCCCGGGACAGGTGAGGCTGCTGATCCTTTATTTTTGAGGCTGCTGATCCCTTATTTTCAAATCTGAAAGTTGACAGCTATGATTTAGAGGTGTCTGTAGTTCCCACCCTGAAAAAAAACGCAAAATTCTGGCAGGAGCTGGTGTCACAAAGATGGAAGCAGTGTTATGTGTGGCCACCAGAGGGAGCAGAGAAACCCTCTCCAGATTTTCCTGTTATATACCCTTCCCACGCTGGGAATATTTGGGTGTGTTTGATGTACAGTACTTGCCCACCTGGAAATCCTTCCAGTGATAACTGGATATACCTACTGTAAGGTGTAGCTGCTGATGGCCTTATGGACCATTAACTTGTCTAATCCTCTTTTTAAACAACCTGTTGCACATTAAGTTTCCACTAGTGCAACTGTTGAGTTGGGTTTTACCGTATTTTTTGCTCTACAAGACTCACTTTTTCCCTCCTAAAAAGTAAGGGGAAATGTGTGTGCGTCTTATGGAGCGAATGCTGGCCGCGCAGCTATCCCAGAAGCCAGAACAGCAAGAGGGATTGCTGCTTTCACTGCGCAGCAATCCCTCTTGCTGTTCTGTCTTCTGAGATTCAGAATATTTTTTTCTTGTTTTCCTCCTCCAAAAACTAGGTGCGTCTTATCGAGCCAAAAATATGGTATATTGGGCAGCCATTATTCTCACCAGGCCTTCATTCTTCAAGCTTTCTTCTTCATTTTCACTGCAACCAACTGTTACAGCCACCCTCTGAAATTATTTACTGGGAAAGAGGTTCTCTGAGTCAGCTGGGATAGCTCTGTTGGTCAGTGGTGTAGCGTGGGGGGTGCAGGGGGGGCCGGCCGCACTGGGCGCAACTTCTGTGGGTTAGGGTTAGGGGGCGCAAATCCACGGTTAGGGGGTGCAAATCCACGGGTTAGGGGGCGCAAATTACTTGCCTTGCCCCGGGTGCTGACAACCCACGCTACGCCACTGCTGTTGGTAGAGCATCAGACTTTGAATCCAAGTTTGTGGGTTTGAGGCCCACACTGGGCAAAAGATTCCTGCATTGCAGGGAGTTGGACTAGAAGATGAACCTTGCGGTCCCTTCCACCTCTACAATTCTATGATCTATGAATCTGAAGGCTGTGTTTCTGTAAGAACTCCTGAAGCTTTCTTACCTTGAATCAGGCCAATGGTCCATCTAAGCCCATCTGCTGCAGCCTAGTCCAGAAACTTTGGACTACACCAGGGGTCAGCAAGGCTTACCAGGCATGGGCTGGATCACTCCTGCGGAGTTCCTCGGTGGGCCAGACTGACGCATCGTGATGCCAGAAATCGCATCTGCACATGTCCGCAGCACCGGAAATAACTTCTGTGCATGCCCAGATGCTGAAAATTGCACCTGTGCAGAAGTGATTTTCGGCATCTGGGCATGTGCAGAAGCGATTTCTGGTGCCGCGGGCATGTGCAGAAGCGATTTCTGGCATCTGGGCATGCGCAGAAGTGATTTCTGGAGCCACAGGAGAGAGTCCCCGCGTGCTGCGCTGCACTGATTTAGCACAGCGCGCGGGGACTCACCGAGTGGGTGGCTTGGTTCAAGGGCAGCTCGGGGGCCAGTTAAACGGCCTCCGTGAACCACTTCCAGCCCATGGGCTTTAGGTTGCTGACCCCTGGACTACACCTCCCATCCTCCGGTCTACTGTGGCTTGTAGTCAAGTCTCAAGCAAAGACTGATTTTCAAGCTGCAGACCTTTAAGTGGAATTCTGCAGACTGAAGCTTGTGAGATAGTAGGACCACAGTAATTCCTGCTCCTCCCAAGCAATGGGCAGGCCTCACTTGTCTCTACTCTGCCAGGCAATATTCTGATAGAATATTCTAACAACCATGAGCCTTTTTCCAGAAGTATGTCCAAATCCCAGGAGGCGTGTCAGTCAGAGAACAATTTAACAAACCTCATTCTGTCCTAGTTGGGTTTTATTGAAACCATGGGTTGTTGGGGGTTTTGCTCACTAAATGTACTAAATCAGCACAGGCAAATCCAGACAACTGCTCTCGTCCCATTACTGCTGCTGCAAATGGATTGCTCTTCTCATTTTAATAATAATTATTATTATTATTATTATTATTATTATTATTATTATTATTATTATTTATTTATACCCCGCCCATCCGGCTGGGCTTCCCCAGCCACTCTGGGCGGCTTCCCAAAAAATATTAAAATACTGTAATATATCAAATATTAAAAGCTTCCCTAAACAGGGCTGCCTTCAGATGTCTTCTAAAAGTCTGGTAGTTGTCGTTCTCTTTGACATCTGGTGGGAGGGCGTTCCACAGGGAGGGCGCCACTACCGAGAAGGCCCTCTGCCTGGTTCCCTGTAACTTGGCTTCTTGCAGTGATGGAACCGCCAGAAGGCCCTCAGCGCTGGATCTCAGTGTCCGGGCTGAACAATGGGGGTGGAGACGCTCCTTCAGATATACTGGACCAAGGCCGTTTTGTACACATTTTGGCTCCGCAGAGAAATGTCTGTGGGTAGAAGTTTCTCCTCGCTTAATTCTAGAATCAGTGACGCTGAGTGGTAATGGATTCAGGACAAAAGGGAACACAACTTCTCCCAGAGCATACTGTGGAATTCTCTGCCACAAGATGTGAGGCCACCAACTTAGTTTTAAGTCCATAGTGGATCGGGACTTCTCCTGTATGTGAATACAGGCTCTGGCCAATTGAGCAGACAAGAGCAATAGTGGGTCCAATGGTCAAGAAGGCGGTTTCTGCTTGTGTTGTAGGGGAAAGTGAGGGGCAGATAGGGCTTGCCAAACTAGGAAGTTCAGCTAGAAGTAAAACTCTGACCCTAAACGTCAGCTGCCTTGTGGGATCTCTTTGGGAAAAGGCAACCCTACACAAATCTGGGATGGAGCTCCTAAGGCAGTTGGATGGCGCCTTGTACACCTCCTTCCGGCAACTCCTGCATCCCAGCTGGTGCAAAATGTATTACTCCATTTTCCTTTGGACCACATAAGTGGGGGCAAGGGATGGGTCTTGCCATCTGGCAGCCCAAGACCTCCAGACATACTGCCCAGGCTTGTGCCCCAGAGAGGTCCTTTTGGTGCTGCAAGCGTTTGAATTCATCCCTGGAGGTTCACTCTGTTGTCTCTCAAGACAGGCAAGTGGACAATGGCCACTACTTAAAGATAAAGGGGCCCCTGACCATTAGGTCCAGTCGTGGCCGACTCTGGGGTTGCAGCGCTCATCTCACTTTACTGGCCAAGGGAGCCGGCGTACAGCTTTCGGGTCATGTGGCCAGCATGACTAAACCGCTTCTGGCGAACCAGAGCAGTGCATGGAAACGCTGTTTACCTTCCTGCCGGAGCGGTACCTATTTATCTACTTGCACTTGGACGTGCTTTCGAACTGCTAGGTTGGCAGGAGCAGAGACTGAGCAACGGGAGCTCACCCCATCGTGGGGATTCGAACCGCCGACCTTCTGATCGGCAAGTCCTAGGCTCTGTGGTTGAACCCACAGTGCCACCCACTGTACACCCGCTTCTTACAGTAATGTAAAAAGGTAAAGGACCCCTGGATGGTTAAGTCCAGTCAAAGGCAATTATAGGATAGCGGCACTCATCTCGCTTTCAGGCCAAGAGAGCCGGCGTTTGTCCGCAGACAGCTTTCCAGGTCATGTAGCCAGCATGACTAAACCACTTCTGGTGCAACGGAACACCGTGATGGAAACTAGAGCGCACGGAAACACCAACCTTCTGATCGGCAAGCCCAAGAGGCTCAGTGGTTTAGACCACAGCGCCACCCGCATCCCTACTACTTACAGTAGACACATACCACCACCAGGATAGTAGGGAATGACAGCTGACTACTGACCTCACGTCCTACTCCTGCGTTTCCCAGCAGCAATTGCTTGGTTGTTCACTATAGAAAACAGGATGTTGAACTAGGTATTCTAGTTCCTAGACACCTTCAGTTGAATGCAGCAGGGCTTTTAAGTTCTTACCTACAGCTGCTCCTTAACATTTCATAGTCTTGTGACCACCACCTTTTTTATACAGTGATACCTCGGGTTACAGAAGGGACGTGGGTGGCACTGTGGGTTAAACCACAGAGCCTAGGACTTGCCGATCAGAAGGTCGGCGGTTCAAATCCCCACGATGGGGTGAGCTCCCGTTGCTCAGTCTCTGCTCCTGCCAACCTAGCAGTTCGAAAGCACGTCAAAGTGCAAGTAGATAAATAGGTACCGCTCCAGCGGGAAGGTAAATGGCGTTTCCGTGCGCTGCTCTGGCTCGCCAGAAGCGGCTTAGTCATGCTGGCCACATGACCCGGAAGCTGTACGCCGGCTCCCTCGGCCAATAAAGCGAGATGAGCGCCGCAACCCCAGAGTCGGCCATGACTGGACCTAATGGTCATGGGTGCCTTTACTTCGGGTTACAGACACTTCAGGTTACAGACTCCGCTAACCCAGAAATAGCACCTCGGGTTAAGAACTTTGCTTCAGGATGAGAACAGAAATTGTGCTCCGGCGGCACGGCGGCAGCAGGAGGCCCCATTAGCTAAAGTGGTACCTCAGGTTAAGAACAGTTTCAGGTTAAGAATGGACCTCCAGGATGAATTAAGTTCTTAACCCGAGGTACCACTGTACTTTTATCATGAGAATGGAACCTGTATTCTACCCTGCTGCATCTCTTCTTTTCATTTTTTTTAGTGAAAATGGTTGAATAGTCCTGGGAACACCAGATGTTGTAGCACTGGTGTTCCATTTCATGGGTAGGACACCCCCTGCAAGAGCCACGAGACCATTGTTTACCTTTTTAAAATAAATAAATCAGTTTATATTGTTGGCTACCTAAGTGTGATGGGTGAGCTGCCGTGTTCTGACTTGCACTAGAGGCAGATGTGCGTCAGAATTAACCAACACCCCAAGACACGTATGGACTGTTTGAAATCTTTTTGAAAGGTTTTTATTTACAGTGCTAAACAATATATATATTTATATTTCTCATCCTCTTAATGTCTGTGCCATAGAAAATACTGCAGATGGGTCTGCGTTAATTTACAAACAAAAACAACTAAAGACCCTGAAAGGAACAAGGGAGAAATCAAAATTTGGTCCCTAATTTTTTTTTAATTTAAAAACAACCCAAAATGAGGAACACACACACTGAGTCACATTATTACTTTACACATTTAAAAACAAGCTTCGCCTTCTGGAAGAAGAAAAAAATGTCGACCAGATCCAGCTTGTTGCCTGCCTTGTAAATTTGTACAAAAATGTATTAATAATGAAAATCTTGTCTATGTTTTACTTAAAAACACATTTAAATTGTGTATATATATGTATATATATATTTATATATTTGCCTTTTCCCAGCAATGGAAAGGGAACCAGGCACAGGACACAGGAACAAATCACTGCAAGGTTCCCTGCCCCCTTTTACATCCCAGGCTCTGGACCCAATTTAACATTTCAGCACCATAAAATTTCCACACCGCATTTGTGGAATTCTGTAAGGGGCCAAAGAAAAGAAGGGGGAAGGTGGGGGGGGAGGCGGGAATTTGTCCAGGGCAGAAGAAGTTTACAGAAGATGTATCAAAAAGCAGAGGCATGTGAGGATCTCCAGTTAGGCAGCAATTTTGAGAGGGTGATTGGGAAGAAGGAGGGGGCAATGTTTCTGGATATTGGGGATATTCGAATGGGGGGGAAAGGAAGAAATCAGCAGCTGTAGGGAGCACTGTAATATGGAACAGATCTCGGGGCTAGGAAAGAGCCATCTTCAGCTTCCTCTGTCCTCGTTGGAAAGCCTTTTGTGACCCCTTCTCGTCCTCTGTGGCTACAGCACAGAAGTGGGGGCCTGCACAGGTGGAGGAAGGAAGATGGGGGGGTACAGATAGTGGAGAAGGGGGGGAAGGGAGGAGATCAAGCTGAAGAGCCGTTTTCTGTTTTCTTTCTCTTTGGGTCCACTTCGTCCTGTCAAGAATAACAACAACAAAAACATGGATGCATTTAGTCATAAGCCATAAACCATGTGTCTCCAAGAGTTCGGAGAATCCTAAAAAATTCTGTGCTGCCTAGTGGAACTTATATTTCATGCACCCAGGGTTGCCGTGAGGGTAAAATAGAGAGACGAACCACGTGCGCCATCTTGAGACTCTTGGAGGAAAGGCAGGACACAAATGTAACAAACGAACAAGTACTGTGGTACCTTGGTTTACGAACTTAATCCGTTCCAGAAGTCCGTTCTTAAACCGAGGCGCTAATGAGGCCTGCCGCCACCGGTGCCCTTCCACCGTTCAGATTCTGTTCTTAGACCGAGGTAAAGTTCTCAAACCGGGACACTGCTTTCAGTTTTGCAGAGTTCGTAAACCAGATCGTTCTTAAACCGGACTGTTCTTAAACTGAGGTACCACTGTATGCTTGTGAAGTTGTTGTGCAAGTTCAATTCCACCCACTTTGAAGATTTCAGAAGGTACCCCATCAGGCCCACTGGCTTTCTTGCTTTTCATTTGGTTAATACCTGTACACAACTCTCCCAGATTTGGGGATACTGCAAGCTCATCTCTAACTTGTTTTTGTGGAATTTGTGAGAGGACCTCAGCAGCTATGGGGGAGTTGCGGTTAAGGAGATGTTGGCAGTGTTCTTTCCAGTATGCAATGAAGAGGCAGGGAAGGGGAAACCCACTTGTAGCCTGCACTGTCTATAGCGGACTAGGTCAAAACTTGAGCTATTTGAGCTGTTTTCTGCCCTGAAACCCTAGCATGTGGTGCAATGCAAATGCAGGGCTGAGAGTAGATGTGGAACTCTGAAGGTTATCTTCTGCAGTGTGGGCATCTCCTGTTTTATCTCTAATCACAAAAGGACTCGAACGAGGCAGTAGTATTTCCCGAGCTTTGCACGTCTGCACGTTACCAGCAGCTTTGCACGTTGACACACCAGTGTGTGCAGCACTGAGGTGCAGAGATGTGATCTGTAGGAAACTGTGCAGGGAGTTTGTGGGTGAATTGAGGATCAGGAAAAGCACTGAAGCACAGTGCAAAGCCCCCCAAATTTGGTTTCAGGGGGGATGGGTGCTTCCAGGGAGGGGCTGCTGTTCTTCCGGACAGCCAGAATTTGCCTAGACAGAACTGCTTTATAAGAATGACAGCTTTAAAACCCGGTGTCTAAGGAAGCTTGTCCACCGCCTCCCCGGCAATCATTTTCCCTAGTATGTCATGCCTTTTTAGATTGCAAGTCTGCTATCGATCTTCCCAAGCCACTCTGGGAGCCTGCTCGGCTCAAGGGTGGGGTCTAAAAGCTTCACATAAATAAATGATAGATGTGCCGTTACCTCACTTCCACCAAATGGGAGTGAGCAATTCACGTTTCACAGACGGCCGTGCCTTTGGCTTGCCGCAACATGTTTAATGGCCGACTTCGCATTACAAATTGCCTAGAGCTGTTCTGTCATCTACCTGTGAGTAGCCGCTGGGAGGGCAAGGCCTCAGCCCTTAGAAGAAGCGCCCAGCTTTGACCTAGAAAAAGCCTTCAAGGACTCAGGACCACAACACCTCAAGGATCGCCTCGCCCCACATGAACCCACCCAGACCCTGCAATCATCATCTGAGGCCCTGCTTTGGGTGCCTCTCCCACGAGAAGTCGGGGGGGGCAACATGAGAACCAGCCTTTTCTACAGCGGTTCTCCATTTGTGCGATGCTCTCCCCAGGGAAGCTAAAGATAATGAAGGCGCCAGGCGAAAGTGTTCCTTTTCAGCCAGGTCTTGGGCTGATTGACCATTCCATGGCCTTTTAAATCCATCCGTGGGAGAGCGGGGGGTTATTGGTATGTTTTGGTTTTATGGTGCATTTTGTGGTCTCATTTTGCGTTCTTGTGTTGCGAACCGCCTTGCAGTCTTCAAAAACACCCAGATTTAATAAATTAATATATAAATGGAGAGCAGAGGAAACCCGTTCTCCATTTACAGTGGTACCTCGGGTTACATACGCTTCAAGTTACATACGCTTCAGGTTACAGCCTCCGCTAACCCAGAAATATTACCTCGGGTTAAAAACTTTGCTTCAGGATGAGAACAGAAATCGTGCTCCGGCGGCGCGGCAGCAGCAGGAGGCCCCATTAGCTAAAGTGGTGCTTCAGGTAAAGTACAGTTTCAGGTTAAGAACGGACCTCCGGAACAAATTAAGTACTTAACCCGAGGTACCACTGTATTTATTCACCCCACCCCACCCCACAGCTGCAATTGTGAGCTTAACCAGCTTTGAGACATGGCCAGAGCTCTCACGCTACAGGATAAGCAGCCCTCCACCTTGGGGTGGGGTTGTTCGGCGGGGGGAGGTTTCCTGCCTTTATGCGTTTACACGTGGACCCCCCCCCCCCGCAACCGAACCCCGGCGCAAGATGAGAGTTACGCGTTGTTCAGGGTCATCTATCAATCCAGCTGGGTTGTGTACTTGGAACTGGGGGGCAGCACCATCTTGTTCTGTGCCTTAGAAAGCCAAGTGCCTTGGGGTGGACTTGTTCCTCATACGTCCCCTTAGTTCTTCGGCGGAACAGAACTCTCCCCCTTCCTGCCATCCTTGGCATCGTTTCTACTAACCTCTTCCTGCTTCTTCTCCGCAGATCGCTTCACTGCATGCGAATCTGGCTCCTGTTCGTTCTCATCGTCTTGGAATTGAGAAGGGGAGGGGGGGAAACACACGTTAGATCAGTCAACCAGCCACGGAAGGCAGCATTCATTTATAGCACAGCTCACAAGCGGTTTGCTCACTCTCACCTTCATCCTCGTCCTCATCATCATCCACATCCTCAGGATTTGCGTCTTCCTCCTCGTCCTCTTCCTCGGCTCCATTCTCATCGTCCTGTAGAATGCAAACCCACAGAAGGCAGCAGTTGTGTCAGTGTCTCCGGCACATGCTCTGCCTTCCCAAAAGCTCATCCCCGTCTTAATTTCCACTTTCCAGAGCCCAACAATTCTAATAATAATAATAATTTTATTATTTATACCCCACCCATCTGGCTGGGCTTCCCCAGCCACTCTGGGCGGCTTCCAAAAAATATTAAAATACTGTAATACATCAAACATTAAAAGCTTCCCTAAACAGGGCTGCCTTCAGATGTCTTCTAAAAGTCTGGTAGTTGTTGTTCTCTTTGACATCTGGTGGGAGGGCGTTCCACAGGGAGGGCGCCACTACTGAGAAGGCCCTCTGCCTGGTTCCCTGTAACTTGGCTTCTCGCAGTGAGGGAACCGCCAGAAGGCCCTCAGAGCTGGACCTCAGTGTCCGGGTAGAACGATGGGAGTGGAGACGCTCCTTCAGATATACTGGACTGATTCTGCTCAATTTATATTTATTTCATTTACTGTCACACTGATACCCTACTCCTCTTCAGAGGAGCTGGTTGTGGCTTAAGCAACTCCCTGCACTGTCCCCTTTACACTTTGAGTCTCTGTTCTTTACAGAGGATGACGAGAATTCTGTTTCATTTCTGGCCATATTCGCCTCTTGCCAGTTTTCCTTACACAGCCCCTGCTCGTATTCAAAACACAGCTCTCCTCTCGGGGTGAACTTCCACGTTGGTTCTTGTCGGGGCATGAGAAAGGCTGACACTAGGATGTGTGGATGTTCATTCAGCAAATCTGACCCTGATCAGGAGACAGCAGTATCTGCGCATAGCACACATGGACTCTTAGCTGAGAGCCTTCTCCTAACCAAGGCTGTGCTCACCCAGCAGGTACGGAGAACAGAACTAGCAACAGCTGTGATCTTCAAATTAGATGTGATGCAGAAGATCAGTGACTGGGATTTCCCTTGATTTTAGTCTTTCTGCAGAGCTATTTTGAGGATGAGGAAAGCAGTACTCTGGGAGAGGGTCTGAACCTTTTGCCAAGTCTAAACCCCCATCTCCTGAAGCTTATTAGCTCTGTGAGGGAGGGTGGGAAGTAGGGGAGAGGCAAGGAAAAGCAATAGGTATTTCTGTACCTATCTCCCAGAAGCAACTGCTTGGCCACAGAATGCAACATTGATTGGAACATGGGTCTTCTCAAGCTAGGTACTAAAGCATGGCTAGGCAAACTAAGGCCCGGGGGCCGGATCTGGCCCAATTGCCTTCTAAATCCGGCCCACGGACAGTCCAGGAAACGTGTTATTACATGAGTAGAATGTGTGCTTTTATTTAAAATCCATCTCTGGGTTATTTGTGGGGCAGAGGAATTTGTTCATTCCCCCCCCCCAAAAAAAGTATAGTCTGGCCCCCCACAGGGTCTGAGGGACAGTGGACTGGCCCCCTGCTGAAAACGTTTGCTGACCCCTGTACTAAAGAAACCGCCACCCCACATTAAGACTTATTTTTTTCATTTAGGGACTTCTTCATCTCATCTTATTGTGGTTGATGCAGAGAGCACAAGAAACTCTTGCAGTCGTGCAAACCCAGCTCATCCTCTTGGGACTGACTATATAGCCACCCACTCACTGCAGTGGCACACTTTGGGCTTTCAAATTTCAGCAGTGCCCTGGGCGACGCTAAAATTTGGCGCTCCCGTACCTCTCACACTACATTCTACAGCACTGTTGTGGCACCCCCTGCAGCGTGGCACCCAGGGAGGCCGGACTACCCTAAAACCGCCTCTGTTTCTTGCTCTCCCCGCCGCCCTCCACAAGAGGTATTTTTGCATCCTAGAGAAGTCAGTATGAACCCCACTTTCTAATTCTTAGCACCTAAACCTCTCCAGTAGGTCTCAGAATACCTGTCTAAGGAGCAGGATGCAGTGCTAGACAGCAGCTCTGCCTGATGGCCCCACACATTCTAATTCTCCAGGGCAGCTAAGATTGCCACCTTTCCCCTCCTACCTCAGCGGGGGCTCTGCTGGATGGCAGATTCCTCCACCCCCGCCCCTGCCCCCAAAATTAAGTGACCCTCCTCGCCCAGTGGATGCAGTTTCCCGGCAGATCTCCATCACAAGAAAAGCTACACTTTTGTGTTAGACTTCCAATCTACTCAATTGCAATTTCTTTCCACTTCTATTACTTTCTTTCACACACCTTTAACCTAATTTCATGCTTCTTTTTCTGTTACACATTGTTATCCATCTTATTTAGTATTTCAGTATTTAAAATGGAACTTGTTTATTCTAATAGGAGTTCTGATTTTTCAATATGGTTTAAACACCTTCCAATCCCTAACACAAAGGTGGGGTGAGGGGTGGTGGATGGTGATGGGAAAAGGAATTATCTGTGGGACTGAATGTAGGTATGTTTGTATATATTTAAGGATTGTATGAAATGTATGTTTGTATGCTTGTATATTCGCAATATGTGTGTATTTTATAATAATAAATAAATAAAATTTATTAAAAGAAAAAAGAAAAAGAAAAGAAAAGCTACACTTGTTGGCATGTCTGCCGACCACAGAGTTGTCCACAGCCTTCAGGGGAGCAGGGTTGATAACCTGCTGCAGCAAATAGATAGCCCTTTTCTCTTCTGCTGATTTGATGGATCAGGAGAGGAGAAAGGGCAGATCCTGTTCCCCTTTCCTATCTCTGCAAGTTGGAGCCCCAAAGTGGCAGGACTTGGAAATCCTTCAATCCAACCGTATATCCTGGTAGGCACTCCTTTGCCTATTCTGCTTTCCCCCAGCCTGCACCCCTAGATAATCTGTTGCCTCTAGATGGTACTAATTTTTCCAGTTTTTCTTAGGAGAAGTCTATATGGGCGTAAAAAAAATAGCACATGTGGAGAGAGCTGCTCAGTTTGGCACTTTTGGCATCACGAAGAAGCCTCCCCTCTCTCCTCAGAAGCATTTGCAGGTTGAAAAAAATGAATAAATCTTTAAAAACATCAGGCACCATAGGATCTTTTCAATTACAGCTGTACAAATGGTGCTATAAACAAGACCATCAGGGGTGAAGCAAGATAAATGGCAAGAGGAAACCAGCACTCATGGCTGAGGCAACTATGTGAAGAGTCAGAAGAGGCAAAACCAAAACCCTGGTGGCTCTTTTTTTAAGCCTTTGCCTGTGCACGCCCTCACTTTGCTGTCTTCCTTGCCATGCTCTCCCATCTCTCTCTGCTTCTCAACCAAATACAGGCATAGGCAAGGGACTACAACTCCCATCATCCCTAGCTAACAGGACCAGTGGTCAAGGATGATGGGAGTTGTAGTCCCAAAACATCTGGAGGGCAGAGTTTGCCTATGCCTGACCAAATATCTGCCCAGTTACCTCTATTATCTCCTTTTTTTCTTTGCGGGTAGACTTTTCCTCATGCTTTTCCTTCTTTTCTTTCAGGTCCTGGAAGACAGGAAGAGAAATACGTGTGCTTAATACTAGAGGGGCTGTAAAGAAGGGCTAATATGAAGAAGCAGGAATTGCGTAATAATAAGACAGAAATAATGAAATCGGTGAAGAGGGCGTGGCTCGATTACTGGCAATAGGAGAACAGATCGCTGAATACCAAAGGCGACATGTTTAAGCATTTCAAAAAGGAAATGTTCCTTTTAGAATTGCCCACAGTGTATCACTGAGATTAAGAGAGCCTTGTCACTGTGACAAATAGGGAAACCTAGGCAACGTTTTTCAAGCTGTAGAAGCCTCGCAGTGGAAGACCATCTGAAGGCTTGCCAACATTCAGTGGTCATGGTGTGATTTAACTATGGCCCATGACGTTTTGGTGCCCAAGACTGATAATTCAAATGGGCGCTTCCTCCCACTAATTAACATGTGTCGCAATCTGCCAGCCTGCTGCCACGCGGCTCCCATTCATTCCACTGGAGCTTGCACAAAATTACTTCCAAGTCATTTATTATTACGCATGAAATCTGTCAGCCACCTCACAGCACCTCATTTTAGGGCTGCCTATGCCCGGGGTTTGTTGTTGTTTGTTTGTTTATATGCCACTATGAACATCATTAAGATCCTTCAGAGAGCATTTTTGGAAGTTAAAAATTTAGCTCTTTCTAAAAAGGAACTCGTTTTGTTTTTTTAAACTTCTGGGGAAGCCGTCCCATCGCATATGGTGTTGGACTGCAATTCTCATCATCCCCTGAACAATTGCCCTTGCCGGCTGAGACTGATTGGGATTTAAATTCAACACCCACTTCACCCTGCCGTTTACAGAGACTAGCATGAGATGTCTAATCAGAAGACACGAGATCTACCCACACTGGAGGAATGGCAGATGAAAATGATGGACTATATGGAATTGGCGGAAATGACTGGCAGAATCCGAGACCAGGGAGAAGAGTTGGTGGAAGAAGATTGGAAGAAATTTAAAGACTACTTACAGAAATATTGTAAAATTAATGAATGTTAGAATGATGACGGATTGAAGTTAAGCGGTTTCTAGCAGTAATGGTTTAAAAGAATTGGAAAAATTGGTTTTTAATAGGTAAAAAATTAATGTTATAATACATCAAGATTAAAGATCAGGATTAAAAAGGAGGGAAAGGAATTGCTGGACTAACAAACTGAATTGGAATACAAAAGAGGGAGGTATGAGGAGGTCCGGGAAACAAGTAAACGTAAAAGAAGTGATGAAAAGATGGAATTGTTTTTAACTGTTTTTTTCTTTTTTGTACTTGGTATTTTGTATTTTTCTTTTTATTGTTAATTTTCTTATTAATGTGATCTCTTTCTTTTGAAATTTTAATAAATATCATTAAAAAAAAAGAGAGAGAGAGATGTCTAATCAGAAATGTCTACACTGCTGGTCAATGCACTTATGATGTAGACCAGACTTTCATGGGCAACAACTTATTTGACTTTAGTTATTAATACATCTATCAGCAACCTCCCATCTGGTGTTGCTCCTGAGCGCTAAGAAACCCAGAGAATCAGCACAGCTTTTAAAGCAGTGCAGTTAAGGTTCGGTTCATCATCTTGATTCAAAATGGTGTCCAACTGTATCCAAACACAGGCGAAAACCTGCTCCTTTATCTCAGGAACCAACATGCAAAATTTGGCTAGGATGTCTCAAGAGGTGTCCAGGTGTACAGCAAACAAGTAATTCTCTGAAATAGATAGCAGATGTTGTGCTAGTAACTGTCCTTAGGGGGGAGAAATATAAGATTTTTGCTTGGCTATTGACTGTTTATAGGTAAGAACAGCAGTATGTTTATGCAGTCTGTTCCCTACAAGTGTTCTGATATTTCATATTTATCTCCAAAATTCTTCTGACAGAGCCTTGTAAGATAGGATAAGCCAATATTATCTGCATGTTGTGGCTGAAGAGTTGTATCTGAGAGAAGAGTGGTTTTGTTCTTGGGTGAAACGAGATAAGAACCTGGGGCCTTAATTACTATACTACACTAAGCTGCTTTCTTTAAAACACACACACGGGGGAATGTGCAATTTAACATACTGAAACATCATCCCATTAGTTATTTGTGCAGATAACAAGCAAGAAACTTACATACCAGGTTTAAAATAGGATTGCTAAACATGCACCGCCCTCTGAGAAAGGAGAATAGGCAAAGACAGTAGGACATAAGGCAGGGAACATATCCCAGGGTTACTCTAGAATTTTTATTTTGCTCTCCATAAAGGGTTTTATAGGGTGGAAATGTGCACCTTTTTGCACACTTTTTGATTTGTGCCAACACTGAGCCCTTGCACCAGTTCTGGTGGAAACCCAGCTATGCCCTAAAACAACTTCACCTTTGTGCAGGACTACAAAGTAGAAAAACCTTAATTAGATGGTGCGAGAGAGGTAAGCCTTTGTAAGGAGGCATCCGTGGTAAGAAACGTTGCCATATAGGACAAATGATCCCATAAATGTTCCACTAGAGGGCATAATACGCTTTCAAAACTCAGGCACGAGGCTTCTAAAACCTGCTACTGAGGAAGATGGAACACTGGCCTAGATATGAGGTAGTCTAACCCAGATTGATCATTCCAGGGTCAAGCCAGCATCTGAGATTTCCATAGCTAATCCTCTAACCAGAACCATTTTTCTATGCTTTCAGAATCAAAAGTAGCTTCTTCCTTTTGCACAAAGACAAACGGCAAACATTTTCCATGGCCACTCCCAAAGCCTGGGGCATAATGAATAGTAACTGACAGGGGTTCTGGGGTTTCTCTTATAAAAACAGACAGATTTTCCTCCCGCTGGTCATTTTTTGAACTCGCAGCTGGAAGGGTTGTGTTCTTAGGAATGGTATGTAAGGACAATAGCCCATAAAACCTTCCATAAGTGATGTAGTATGCAAGACCCGTCACTGACCATCTCACAGGGCCATAATTTGTATGATGTAAAAGAACAACAAAACTGACTGAAGTGTTGTGATCCAACCACTGCTACCAAAGATAAGGCGAACCTGGGAACAAGGCGCCCCAAGGCTTTGCTTCTGCAAAGATTGCACACAATTAGATACCTGGTTTTGTATGTTAACTAAAATCTGGGGAAAGGCTGTCCTGTCTTGTGTGGAAGACTATTTTCAAAGCTGTGGAACTATCTTTAGCTTTCTCATGCAAATCGAGAAAGAGATGTACAGTACTGTAGAAGCAAGTCTGAGCAGCATGTAACTTTGATTTATGGCCATGTCCCTGGCTGCCCTTAAGGTTGTTTTAATCAATTACTATCCCTACAGTGCAGGAGAGGAGACTGCCTGACTATCAAAAAATATTATGCAAGTCCCAATCCCTGGAACACAGTTTGAGTACTGTTTGCCTTTGCCTTTTATCTTTTTCTCCCTTTTTTCTGGCAGGCCAGAGAATCCTATGCCCTGGTATGCCCTGCAGAGAAATTGCATGTTTACTCAGAATTACTGCCAGGTACACGTGCGTAGGATTGCAGCTTTACACGTTCCTGCTTCCATTCTGCTACAACAGAGCGAAGAAGCTGGACAGAGACCTATTAATGGCATGGCGGCACTGAATTCCTACTGCTTCCCTCGTTTAATCTTTCCCTTCTCTCCCCACCCCCTCTTCAATTAACGTTTCCAATCCAGCATTCGTAAATATACCAGGAGCAAATCCCACGCGGCGCTAACCGCCCCCCCCACCCTCTTAGGGAGTCACGTGGCTTCCCGAAGGTTGTGTTGTCTTACTCTTCGGGGTGACCTTGCCCCGCAACCTACTTTCCCGCTTCACCCGCAGCGGGCAGCCTTCTTGCAAGACCCAAGCTACAGTTCCCACGACGCGGAGATAACACGTGTCTCCGCAGCTTGCGCGCACATGGACACAAAACAAAGTCAGGAACTCCAAAGCAAGCGAAGACATAAGGTCCGATGCCTTCGCAGACAAGAAACATGGTTGCGGGGAAAACGACCCATATGTTGGCAAGCAAGCAAGCAGGCAGGCAGGCAGGCGGGCGCACGCACATCCCGGCGCGCGCGCGCTCTTTAATTGCCTTCCATCTTTTCCTGGCTTTGTGCTGCGCGTCTCCGCTTCACTGTTTTTGTTTCCTAATAAAGCGAAGCGGTTTAGGCGTCTGTTTTCGTAGTCCGCCGGATGGGAGGTTCGGCGTCCTTGTTGAAAACTGTGCCCCCCTTCTTAACACTAAGGGTTCACCCACCCAACCCAGGTGGGCGCATGGTTTGAAAGGTGACCGCCCCCTCCTCCCCGCCCGGTCTCCATGATGATTAATGGCACTAGGATGAAAAGAAAAGCTCTCCGCCTTTGGCACAGCTTGGGGCACCCAACTGACACGTGCATTCTTCCCCGGTTCTCACAAACCCTAGAGACTTTGGGCAGAAAGCAAACGCGCCCCAGATAGCCAAGCGCACCGTATTGGCCGCGAAGGTGACGGGCACGAGAGGGCGGCGAGAGCGCAATGCCCGCACGCCGCTCTCTGCCCGTCGAAGGGCGTGCGTTTTCTTTTCCTGACCCGGATCCCAGCCGACAGCTCGCTTGTAAGGGGACCAGGGGGGGAAAAGGAAAAGCGGGTCGTTCGGGAGACGCGTGGAAAGGCGTCGGAAGAAAGGCGGGCGCGGGGGCGCGGGGAGCAAGGCGCACGCACGCCACCCTCCTCGAGTCTTCTCTTCGTAACTGTTTCCCCACAACCAGCTTGCGCCCTCTCTGCCATCGATCCCGAGCGCAGCAGGGCAAGGGCGAGCTCCGCCACCAGCACCTATCCGCCTGCTTCGTTGCAATCGAGCACTGGGCGCCCTCGCCCCGGGGTCTTGATCCCAGCTTGGTCCTCACCTTGGCCCCCAGCTCCACCGGAGCCTCCTCGGCGGGCTTCTCCGACATCCTGGAAAGCGAGAGCGAAACAAAACAAAAGGCGCAAGGCGAGAAAGGGCGAGGGCGCGCGGGAGAGGCGCTTGGCCGGAGGGACCAGGTGCAGCTCGGGTTAAGCTCTCGGGAAGCCGACGGGCACTTCTCGGCTCGCCCCGGCGCCACAGCCACAGGGTTCTCCGCTGCCGCGATGAGGCTGTGCCAGAAAAAGGGATTTATACGGCGCTCGGCGGCGAGGGAGGGACCTGCGCAAAGGGAGGGGAGGCTGGGAGGGATGAGCGGGAAGGAGGGAGGGCTGGATGGAAGAGCGAAGGCGCAAGCAGGCTGCCCAGCAGCAGCCAGGAGGAGGAGGAGGAATATAAATGGCCCGGCAAGAGGGGACGCTGGGCTTTGCGAAACAAAAGAAAAGAAAACCATTAACTGCGGAAGGAGGGTTAGGGGAGCTTGCGTGGTCCTGAAGGCCGGGAACCCCAGCCAGAGCTATGCCCTTGGGGAAGCTTCCCTTCCGCGCTTTGTCTTCGGCTCCTTTGTTCGAGTCGCGCTCTCTTCTCCTGCGCCGCGCGCCCTTCGCAAGACCGCGCGTGCCCTTTGTACTACCCCGTGTTAACGGAGCCAGAATAACTAGAACCTAAATCGCCGGCTGCTGGCTCCGTTGCGTCAGGCACGGCTGCAAGTGATCTGCTGTCTGCGTAGTTGCAAGGCTTGAGATAGCTGCCTTTAGCCACCCCCGACTGTGGCAGAAAGCAGGAACCGAGTTGTGCCCCACAGTTGGAATCTGATCCAGAACCCCGGGTTTCCTGTTGTGGTGGAAACATCTCCAGGTTATACCCAGGACTCCTCGCATTCCAGTGAATTCTGGAGTAAAGACGGTATCGTTCAGCCCAGGCCATGCTGTGCCCTGGGAGTGCGTATCATTCTGTGGTTCTCTGCCCATGTCCAGAGTGGTCTGGAGAATCCTCTCCAGATTCCATACCATTTGGCACAGGACGGATTCATCCTTTTTCATTCACCCTTGATAGAAACTTGACAATGGGTAACCAAGCCATGTTAGTCACCTTCCCTATCCCAATTCATTCACCTGTGAAAATCAGCTACATGCATGTGAGAACCAGTCCCAAGACTTGCACTACTTAAAACAAACTGATTTTTTAAAACTTAAAACTGATCAGCGTTCTCTACTCTAAACAGAAGCTAATAAAGGAGGAACTCCTTGTAGTAGACAACTCTATCAGGAACCACCAAGCTTGGCAAGAGTTCCAAAAGGAAAAACAAAACATTTACCACTCTCAACTGGAGCTACTGAAAAACAGAAAAACAAGAAACTCTCTAACCTTTCCAACCTACAGGCTACTAATCAAAACAAGATCAACAATATTGTCAATCTCTCACAGCAAGCACTCAGCCCAGCCGAGGAATCAGTCCTTTCACGTGGACTGTCATTCTGCCCTGCCAAATCCCCACACATGATTCAGTTCTACGGGGACTTGGAAGCATTTTTCCGCCGTTTACGCCTGAAGGAGTATTTTCAACACACACAACAACAAGACAAATCAGAACAAACAACAACTTCACAACACAACACCTCTCAACCCACTGGAGAACAACAACCACCCTCCCAACAGAACACTGACCACCAACTACCTCCGAAAAGTGTTACACAAAAAGGGACTCCACATGGACCCCTCCTGATGGACGCAATACCACACTGGACTTGTACATTGACTGCTTCCGCCACAGAATCCAAACAGATGTGACCAGAAAACACCATCGCTTACAACAAAATCTAAACCATGCTGAAAGGAGAGCCATAGATAATCTCAGAAACAACCCAGACATTATAATTAAAGAAGCAGACAAAGGTGGAGCTGTCGTCATCATGAACAAAACTGACTACATTCAGGAGGCTCACAGACAACTTTCCAATACCGCCTTTTACACAAAATTGGACTCAGACCCCACACAAGAATACAAGAAAGAACTGAACAAGATTGTTAAGGAGCTACCCACACATCCAAGAACAGATCCTCACCAACACACCAACAGAACCTCGACCAGGAACTTTCTATCTTCTACCTAAAATACACAAACCAGGAAATCCAGGACGCCCCATCATTTCAGGTATTGGCACTATTACAGTGGGTGTCTCCGGTTATATGGACTCTGTTCTGAAACCATATGCCATCAGTGCTCCCAGCTATGTACGTGACACCACAGATTTTCTGAGGAAAATACAATCTTTAAATAATCTTCCCAACAATACTATACTAGCTACTATGGATGTGGAATCTCTGTATACCAACATCCCACACAACGATGGTTTACAAGCTATAAGGAACACCATTTCAGATAAAACCACAGCGGACCTTGCCACCAAACTCTGCCAATTTGTCCTTACCCACAACAACTTCAAATTCGGTGATGACCTGTTCCTTCAGATCAGCGGCACAGCAATGGGCACCCGCATGGCCCCACAGTATGCCAACATCTTCATGGCAGATTTAGAACAACGTTTCCTAAACTCCTACCCACTCAAACCTCTCTTGTACCTGCGATACATTGACGATATTTTTATCATCTGGACACATGGTCAACAGACCCTGGACACCTTTCACCAGAAATTTAATGATTTTCACCCCACAATCAACCTTACAATGAATCAATCTATGCAAGAAATACATTTTTGGACACTACTATAAAAATACAGGATGGGCGCATAGACACCACCTTATACCGTAAACCAACTGACCGACAAACATATCTACATGCCTCTAGCTACCATCCCAAACATACCAAACAGTCCATTGTATATAGCCAGGCACTACGTTACAGCCGCATCTGTTCCAATTCTACAGACAGAGACTCTCACCTAAGAGATCTACAGCAAACCTTTTCAGAACTAAAATACCCAGCAGATGAAGTTAGACAACAGATCAACAGAGCCAGACTTATACCCAGAGAGAACTTGCTGCAAGACAGACCCCAAAAAGAAAATAACAGAACACCTCTAGTCATCACATACAGCTCCCAAGTTAAAACAGTACAACGCATCATCAGAGATCTACAACCTCTCCTGGACAATGACAGTTCTCTTTCTCAAGCTCTGGGAGGAAGACCTTTCATTGCCTACAGACAGCCGCCCAATCTTAAACAACTCCTAACCCACAATAATACTACAACCAGACTTAACACGGACACTGGCACCAGAGCCTGCAATAAACCCAGATGCCAACTTTGCTGCCACATACACCCGGACAACACCATTACTGGCCCCAACAACATCACACATACCATCTCGGGACTATTCAATTGCTCATCATCTAACATTGTGTATGGCATCAAATGCCAACAGTGTCCTTCAGCTCTCTATATTGGACAAACAGGCCAAACCTTACGCCAAAGAATAAATGGACATAAATCTGACATCAAGAATCACAAAACAGAGAAACCAGTAGGAGAACACTTCAATCTCCCAGGACATTCTATACAAGATCTCAAAGTAGCTGTTTTACTACAAAGGAATTTCAGAAATAGACTGGAAAGAGAAGCTGCTGAATTGCAACTCATTACCAAACTTAAAACCATGGAGAGACCTGGTTTGAACAAAGACATTGGATTCTTATCCCATTATACATGACTAAGCCATTTCTCACCTTCTCACCCCTTGCCTTTTCCTGTAAGACCTATTACAGTCGTTAAGAGTCGTCAGCAGGCTCATCTCAGCTATCTGCCAATCTCCCATTCCCACCACCCTTCTGAGTAATACCCCTCCCCACCTTCTCACTATATAGAAGGATCTGGCAACTTCTGTTTCAGTGTATCTGAAGAAGTGTGCTTGCACACGAAAGCTCATACCAAGAACTAACTTAGTTGGTCTTAAAGGTGCTACTGGAAGGATTTTTTTTACTTAAAACAAAGTAAGGCATCCAGAGAAAAGGAATGGGGGTGTTTTACCAAGTCTCTCCCCCACCCCCCATTCCCCTGCCTGTAAACTTGAACTGGGCAATTAATTTTTGAGGAAACATGAACCCCCTGCTTACCTGATCACCTGTCCTCTTCCAGTGTTCCCCTTTGCCAACACCATATAACACACTTCTTCACTCATTCTGTTCACAAGAATCACATTTTGCCTAAGAAAATTTCCCTTAACTAGAGTAAATTCCCTCTGAATCACGGATGTACTGACTCAGGGTTATCTTCACAGACACATTTTATTTATTGAAAACCTTCCCTTTAACAGGTTCTCAAGGTGGCTTACAAGACTTTACGGCAAAACAAAAGCATTAAAACACTAGTATAAAAGCAGTCAGCAGAATTAAAAGCAAACACCAACAGCAAAGAAACAAAACACAGAGAGTGAAAAAGCCTGGGAGAATGAAAAGGCCTTTGCCAGTGCCAAAATGACATCAAGGTAGGTGCCATGTAAACCTCCTTTTGGAGAGCATACCATAGTTGAGATGCCACCATCAGATAGTCAGCAACCTTTCCCCTGTAGCCACCTGTCATACCTCAGATGGAGGGGCACCCAAAGAAAGGCCTCTGCTGAAGATCTCATTGTATGGGTGGATGAGCAGGCACAAGTGGAGACCAGCAGTCTTTCAGGCATCCTGGTCTCAAGCCATAAAGGCTTTTAAAGGTCAAAATCCACACACTGAACTGAGCCCAGACACAGACTGAAAGCCAACTAAGTTGGTGAAGCATAGGAGTAATGGGATCACAATGCCTAGATTCAGTTAATAGACTCACAGTTGTACTTTGAACTAATGGAAGCTTCTGAACTGCGTTGTAATGCATCCCTATATACATTGCATTACAGTACAGTGGTACCTCGGGTTACGAGCTTAATTCGTTCCCGAGGTCCATTCTTAACCCGAAACCGTTCTTAACCTGAGGTACCACTTTAGCTAATGGGGCCTCCCACTGCTGCCTCGCCACCGCCACGCGATTTCCGTTCTCATCCTGGGGCAAAGTTCTCAACTCGAGGTACTACTTCTGGGTTAGCGGAGTTTGTAACCCAAAGTGTTTGTAACCTGGAGAATTTGTAACCAGAGCTACCACTGTAGTATAATTTGGAAGTTACCAAGATATGGATCACAGAGACCAAGGTATCTGTCTAGATACAGTTGTGGCTGGTGCACCAGTCTAAACTGGTATAACATGCTCAGCACCACAGAGGCAAACTATGCCTCAGGTGGCAACGATGGATCAGTAGGCAATCCCTCTTCAGAGGGGTTGCACTCCAGCACAGGGTGAACATAAGCAACATGGGGAGATGAATCATCTCCGTCCTGTCTTGTCTAGGCTGAGCTTCATGTTCTTTGCCTTCACCCAGTTAATTACTGAACCCATCTAGTCCTGGTTTATCACCATCATCACTTAATATGAGTTCGGTGAAAAAGAGAAATAGAGCTGTCATCTGCATATAGATACAACTAATTTCAACTTCCCTGGTGATGACCTCACTCAGTAGTTTCATTTGTATGGAGGACAAAGATGTCAGGAAGTCAAGCAGTGGTTCCCCCTGCACCACCTTCTGAAATTGGCTGCCCAAGTAGGTGTGCACACTTTACTGTGCAAAAGAACCCCCCTTTTTTCTTTCCCTATTTCAAGCCTTGCTCTCTTCTATCATATCTCCACAGCACAGATGGGGCTACCTGCCTATATCACACAATTGAGTCATACTATCAAGTTCTCAGCTACTGGTCAGTTGGTTTGGACTCCTCATTGTGTTTTCATACCAGAGTGTGACAAAATCCAGTGCTATGGGAAGAGAACAGTAAGTAGGCAAATCGCTCCTTTGAATTAAGTGGCATTGATTAACACCCCGCTCCCCCAATGAATATTTCTGTTCTTCCTTCTGCATCTTCCAATATCTGAAAGACAAATATGGATTGGCTGCTATTGTGAAGTAGGGCACATTCCATTACAGTGGTACCTCAGGTTAAGTACTTAATTCGTTCTGGAGGTCCGTTCTTAACCTGAAACTGTTCTTAACCTGAAGCACCACTTTAGCTAATGGGGCCTCCTGCTGCCGCTGCGCCGCCGGAGCACGATTTCTGTTCTCATCCTGAAGCAAAGCTCTTAACCTGAAGCACTATTTCTGGGTTAGCGGAGTCTGTAACCTGAAGCGTCTGTAACCTGAAGCGTATGTAACCTGAGGTACCACTGTATTTAATTGGTCCAAATGTCTTGCAGCATGACATGCTTCCTAAGGAAGCATAAGTAGTCCACTTGTTGAGCACATCTGGCCCCTCACAGCACACACTTTGTGGTAACAACATGGCTGCTCAGTTTGGTACTAAGGAGGCAAGGCACAAGCCTTTCTTCTATCTGTGTCTTCTTCACTTTCTTCTATCTGGCTTCTTCACTTGAGAGAATGTAACAAATCCTTTTGACTCTTTCCTGTTATTTCTGCCAGTTGGATCATTACGTTCATTGGGCCTAAATCCTTTTTTTTTTTAAGCTAGAAAAGTGGAAGTTTCAGCACAGAAACCCAAGAGCTGTACAGCTGAAATAATGCAGTTTCCAGTCTTCAACTACCCCCATTCAACTACCCCCATTTGTGTGTAGCATGTGCCACAAGCAGAGGATTAATCAAGGCACAGCTTGTCATATGTATTCCTATTCTGAAAGAGGAATATATGTTTTTAAACAAAGCTGGTCTTCCAGAATGGAATAAAACCGCCACAATGCAGTGTGCACAATTCCCAACTTAAGAGAGCGTATCCAGATAAACACAATTGCTGATATTGACAACTACTAGGAGGTCCAGCAGAATCAACAAGGTCCTGCTCCTTCTGTTTTCTGGTGCAGGCCATCTATCAGGATGGCCAAGACAGTTGCTGCATCAAATGTAGGCCTAAAGTCCAACTGAAACGGATCCTGATAATTGGTCTCATCCAAGAAGTAATGAAGTTGGCACAGCCACCACTCACTCAAAGCACTTTACTCAGAAAGTGGCAAATAGTGGTTCTAACAGCAACCACACATATGCTTCCTTCAAACAACTTTGATGACCTTGGAACAGTTTTGTCTTGAGACGTAGAAATAGTGCTGTCTGGTAGAGCTCTGAGGGTTCCTTAACACCTTCCAGTGGCAAACCTTGGCGGTTCCAATTTCAGTGGTGTCCTGTGCAACACCAAAATCCAGTGCCCCCTGCCTCTCGCCTTCCATTGGACTTAATAGTTGTGGTGCCTGCTGCAGCACTCCAGAAGCTCTGCGCCCAGTGCAACTGAACCAGTTGTGCTCTCCTAGATTTGTATCTGCAGCATCTGTTGGCTCACAACAAAGATGATCCAGGGTCACTCAGAAAAACTCTGCTGGGAACACAATGATGGCCAGGAGCATTCTAATATTTCCAACCGCTCCTGCAGAAGAAAGTAGGTGCTGGCTCTGTAAACCTCAACAGGAACTGATCTGACCATGGTGAGATTCATATCCTCAGCTATGATCCTAGCACCTATCTCCTACCCTGGAAATGCCTTCAAAAGCTGGTGCCACATGTCCAAAGTACTGGAGCTTTCCTCAGTTGACAGCTAGAAGTTAGTTTCTCTGCTCCTGGATAGCTCTTGTTTTTCCATCAGCAACTGGGGAATAGGAGCTGTGTAGAAAATTTCTCTCATTGCTCCTCTGCTGGTCCAGCTGCCTTTTCCATCTTCTTGGGAAACACTCAGTATCTGGAACTACCTTGGCCTTTGGTAAAAATCAAGTAAAAAAGTCCTCCTTTTATCAGGAAAGCCACAGAAAAAATATATCCAATTAATATCTGATAACATAAATCCAAAATTATATCCATTGCTTTTAAAATGTTCAACCCACAACCAGTTTTATTCTTGCCTTCATTCATACCTCCATGAGCTGCTACTCTTCAAAACAGGATCCAGAGCATGTGGTCCCACAGCCCTGTCAACTAGCTTTTCTATCCGTGCCCTCACAATTAAAGCCAAATACTGTGAGGCAATTACCTTAGAATAGCATGCTAATTTTTATTGTGGGAATCTTTTGTCAGTTGACTTGAGAGCCTCCCAGGAATAAAAAGCAGGATATAAGCCTTCAAAATAAATAAATTCCATTTATTCTTGCACACAAAAAGTTGCCACAAATAATAGGTTAAAACATATTCATTCTTTGTAAATTTTCCAATTGGTCTTCTAGCTTGTGATTGATCGCTGCAGAAAACACTCATAGGGCTGGGTAATAGCACGACAGGAGCCATCATGAGATGCTGAGCACTTCATTTAAATAGTGGCCTTTAACAGTCTTTAAAATATAAATACAATAATGGGATGGTAAGATATGTGTATTTTTAACAAAACAAAAAAGTGCTTATGTTCAATAGGCTTTGAAATGCAGAACAGGCAAATTCTGTGGAATCTTTTATGTTTTGCACTTTGAATAAGAGCTGGGTAGCAAAAGTTGGGGCAAGCGCCTACAGTAATGGCCTGTGTGTGTGTGTGTGAAGCAAGCTTTATCAAATTTGTATGGACTGATTTTTTGCAATGTGTTTCTAGGTTCCTAAATTGCAGAGATCGCGGCTGCTACCCTGTGCCATTACTTGGGGGGCAGCGGGTGTCACTTCTGAGCAGCCATCCTGCTGTTCGTTGAGGCAGCAAGCCTGTGTTTCCAGGGTAGAACACTTCATACTTCCTGTGTAGCTGAGCGCTCCGCCACACATAAACAAGATCCTTCTGAATACTGGAAGGAGAAATCAAGAAAACGGCATGTCAAGAATTGAGTTCCTGTCAAACCTTCCCGTTAACACCTACTCCACCTCCCCCCAGTTTAGGTGTATTAAAAGCAGAGACATCACCTTGCCAACAAAGGTCCGTATAGTTAAAGCTATGTTTTCCCAGTACAGTGGTACCTCGGGTTAAGTACTTAATTCGTTCCAGAGGTCTGTTCTTAATCTGAAACTGTTCTTGACCTGAAGCACCACTTTAGCTAATAGGGCCTCCTGCTGCCACCGCACCGCCAGAGCACAATTGCTGTTCTCATCCTGAAGCAAAGTTCTTAACCCAAGGTACTATTTCTGGGTTAGCGGAGTATGTAACCTGAAGCATCTGTAACCTGAAGCATATGTAACCCGAGGTACCACTGTAGTGATGTATGGAAGCGAGAGCTGGACCATCAAGAAGGCTGATCGCCGAAGAATGGATGCTTTTGAATTCTGGTGCTGGAGGAGACTCTTGAGAGTCCCATGGACTGCAAGAAGATCAAGCCTCTCCATTCTGAAGGAAATCAGCCCTGAGTGCTCACTGGAAGGACAGATCCCGAAGCTGAGGCTCCAAGACTTTGGCCACCTCATGAGAAGAGAAGACTCCCTGGAAAAGACCCTGATGCTGGGAAAGATGGAGGGCACAAGGAGAAGGGGACGGCAGAGGACGAGATGGTGGGACAGTGTTCTCGAAGCTACCAGCATGAGTCTGACCAAACTGCGGGAGGCGGTGGAAGACAGGAGTGCCTGGCGTGCTCTGGTCCAGGGGGTCACGAAGAGGCGGACACGACTAAACAACATTCTCATGGACACGCGAGCCCACACCCGCGATCCTTCTATAGCGAGGACCGAGGGTCTTTTGTCTTTCCTCCTCCTCCGCGTGGCATTTATTACCACGACCTTTATGGTACTGAAGCACCGAGTGATCTCGCTCGGGAAAGAAAACGCAGCTCGAGCGCGAACAAGATGGCGAGGAGCTATTAGTCTGGAGCCGGAGCCTCGCACAGGTTCCCTCCCACTCCTGCTTTCCCCTGACTGGAATTTTCCACTCCAGCTGCCTTCGCTCGCAGCCCGCCTCCCTCCCGTCTTGTCCACACCCAGTTCCAGAATAATTCCCGGCTTCGCACATTTTATTCCCTCAGAACTCCTCCCCAGCCCAATATATTAATACGGGGCGGGGCTAATTCGCTTGTCCGCGGGAGGGGACGGGGCGGGAAAAGACGGTGTTGTGTTGTGTTGTGTTGTGTTGTGTTTTGTGTGTGTGTTTTGTCGTTGTTTCTCTCCTCCCTCCCTTTTCCCGCGCTCTAACCGGGAGCTCAGGGAGCTCGTGTGATTGAAAGACGGAGACGCAGCGCTTTTTGCTCCCCTTATAAGGAGAGGACAGGGACGGAGACTGCGATTGGGTGATTCAAATGAGCAGGAGGCTTAGCAACAGGCTTCCTATTGGCTGCCGGGCGGGGAAGGAAAGGAAGGGAGGGGGAAGAACCCACAGCGCCCCGCGCGATGGAAGAAATGGAGGGAATGGGAATGAGGCCATGGGGGAGGGAGCTGGGTTTTGGGCGACAGTTTCCGTGGCAACAAACGGGAGGATTTCGCTTCACGAAAGCCGTGGGGCGGAATGTCCCCTGGAGGGGTGGGAATGAGGGGAGTGGGTCTTCCCATGGTGGCTTGAAGGAGGGGAGGTGCAATTTAGCTTGTTGGTTACCTCAGAACATTATTTCAGAAGCAAAACTAGCCTGAGAACACATTTGAAAGACGAGAAGAAGAAAAGCAGGGCAGCACACCTGAGAGACTTCTATTTGGTGCATCTATAGGACCATAATTCCCTCTTATTAAAAGCACCAGAATAGTTTCAGCTTTCAATAATACACAGTTTGCACATCCCTAACCATATTACTAGTATTGTACTGGCCTTAGGTGAGCATTAACCACTCCCATCATGAAAGGTTGCTATGGAAGAGAAGCCCTCAGGCAGATAGGGAAGATTCCTGGAATGTTGTGCGTGTTTGGCAGCTAACAAATCATTTATTTATATGCGTTAATGGATGCATAATATATCTGTTATTAATTATGTGTGTGTGTTGCAATTTCATATATAAGAAAAAAACATAGTGTCTGTAGCAATACAAAAACACAGATCAGAGAAACACCTAGTGAAAGATCGCATCAAAACTCAAGGGAATCCTGGAATCTTTTTGGAAAAGTAAAACTAGTGTCTGAACACAAACAGGGAAGTGGGGTGGGGTGTCTGAAACCAACTTTTGAAAGGTGGGAGCTATTATGGGTTATATATAATTCACATAGTGAGGGGATCCAGATAAGAGCTTCTAAGGAATAGGTTTATGTGAGAAAAAGCAGTCCTACTCATATCCAGTTAGGGCTTTAAGAAGTTTAATGCCAGCACTTTGAACTGGGCTCAGAAACCAGCTGAGAGCCAATGAAGTATTAAAATTGGCATAATATGACCCCTGCAACCTGCCCCATTCAACCACCTAGCAGCTGCATTTTGAACCAGTTGTAGTTTCCAAGTTCATTTTGAAGGCAGCTCACATAAAGTGCTTAGATTAGCACTGTCCCAATATATCAGGTCAAGCAATGTGGGCAGAACAGGCTGGTATGAAATAACAGAAAAACATGGTATTCCGGGAAATGTTTTCATATCAATAAGGAAATGCTGGCAGACCGTGCAATACATGTTCATCACTGTTCACGAGTACCATTAAAGCACAAAACTGCCATAGATTTTAATATTTTGATAGGCACTTTATTAAATAGAACCTCAGATTAGTTAGTACAAGACAGAAAGGGGCAGACATCCACTGGAAGGAGATTTTGCAAATTGGCAATCCCCTTACATTCCACCTTTTCTTTTCTTGACTGATTCCATTAAATCTCTTATTTCAACTCTGGCTGCAAATGGTGTTGCAAATTAAGGGCCCCTCAAGACGTGCCTTTTTATGGTGCATTCATGATGATTTATGCTCATGATAGGGCAGCCATACCCGATCCCACTTGCAATACTATTTGTGCATGCAATAGTTTCAAGGTGGACACACATGGCTTTATTTCCAATAGGTGTGTGTCCAAAACTTCCTGCTGAAATCCTGTAACTTTTTATAGCACACATGTTCCGGTGTGTGGGTGTATCTATAGGGCAAGCGTGCCGCTCCAGAAAGCAATAATAGAACAACAGGGAAGCATCACAGAAGAACTAATAAAATGGAACAATGTGTGGACGATCCAGTATAAATCCACCACTAACGCACTGTTACTGTGCCTGTTAAATGTTGCAGAATGTACCTGTAAAAAAAAACCACCAGTCAGGAGGGACCCTAAATGATTTAAAAGGGGAAAAAATGGACAGGGTTATGGAATGAATTTGCTATTGTTGCAAGTCAGGAAAAATGATCTCTGAATTTTGAAAAGTGGTCACCATGGGTTACAGCAGCAATTCCAATTTTGCAAAGATATTTAATTCTACATCAGTCAAATGATAAAAGAAATCTCCCCTGGGACTTACCCTGGCTTTGAATACACAGTGCTCAAGTGTGGCCACCTTTTCAAACAAGATATCAGTAAAATGCATTGAGGTTTAAAAGGCCAATAAAGGCTCAGCTGAATGTCTTTCTATACCAAATTAAAGGTAAAGGGACCCCTGACCATTAGGTCCAGTCGTGGCCGACTCTGGGGTTCTATACTAAATTGGTGGGCCCCAAAAGAGAAAATCAAGATACAGAAGAACACCTCAGAGCCTGAGGCTGGACTATTCCCTCCCCCACCACAGGGCCTTTCTATCACCATTAGGAAAGTGCATCATACATTCTTTTCCCTGTGGTTTAATTTCAAATCATGCAGACAAACATGGGTCACCCGGCTTCATATATTTGTGGGGCAGGTACAGGTGGGTTTGGGACAAAAGGTGCCTGCAAAGTTGCTTGTTATCCCTGTGCACAGTACTATCCACATGCCAACAATCAGCAGATGGTCTCTGCTTGGAAAGTGTTGCACAAGGCCCTTTGCCGTTCCCACCTTTACCTGCCCCATACCTGATGTCATATAGAAAGTCAAGTGTAGGACTGGTGGGCATGATTGGGCCGAAATAGCCTCATGGATCAAGTGGGGAGGCCTAATTAGGCCCATGGAGTGGAAGATCTCTCCCTTGTGTTAGGGTGTGCTCAGGTGGGGAGCAAACAGAAGTAGGGGTGCAATGTCTGAACTCAGTCACTGAACATCATCACACTTGTGTCATTGAATGATGCACTTAATGAGGTTCCACACCAGTAGTGACTGTATAAGGGGTTATGTTAACATATTGGATCTACTATGGTAAGGAATAATCTAGATTAAATGTAAAAAGAAAAAGTATGGGCTGGCATTTTAATATTATTGTGTGGATGCTGCAAAAAACAAATGTATGAGCAGCGCTGATTCCACAATACACTGAAAGTGCCCTTAAATTATTTCACTGTCATTTGTGGATTGCGTTACTGCCCTCCATTATAAAGTTCTATTTTATTAATTGTATTTTAATATCATAATTTATTATGTGCTGTTTTACGTTGTTGTGAGCTGCCTTGGGGGCCTTTCTGAAAGATTTTTTTAAAAAAATAAGTAAGATGGAAGTTATGGCTGCTGATAGAAATCCATTCCAGTACAAATGGATTTTGAATGGCTATTCCTACCTGGCTGGGAGTAAAGTCATTGTTTTGATGGATGGCCTTATGTTAAATTGGAAGCTCTTACATTAGCACACAAGGTTCCCAAAATTACATGCACATTTAGAAAGGGTAAGGTGCAGCATGCTGCAGTTTTAGACACGTGGGAGTAAGCCCCATTCAACTCAGTGGGACTATCTTATTAGTAGATACAATATTGCATTTTGGACTAGCAAAATGTGAAGTAGCAAGTCTTCCTCGCAACTTTTGCATGAAATAGAGATAGGGTTTATGGGTCAAATTCATTTCTGCCTATCCAGAAGTAAATTTAATTACGTTCAAAGGGACTTGCTCCCAGGTGAGTGTGTGTTGGATTGCAGCCTGAGTAGACCAGTATAGGACTATGCTATAACAGATTTATTATGTCATGAGATCTCATGGACTAGAGAAGTCCGTTTAATCAGAAGCATGAAGTGTTATTTTAGACATGGCCAAAGGAGTAGGGAATAAACAATGAAGACAACTGGCAACGAAGTGGGAAAAATGCAGTCTGTAAATTCTGTGCAAACTTTAAGATCTGCAATACACACTGCACTTTTTGTTGGTTCTTTTAATCCCTTTATGGGCAATTCATTTGTAATAGTGCAATTCTATATCTACTCAGAAGTAGATATTTCAGATATTTCCTTCATTTCAGTGGGGCCTATTCCTGCCAACTATTCTGACAGTAAGCAAAATATTGAGATTTGGTGATTCTGCTCTTTTATTATTTGGAAGCTTTAAGTCTCTCTCAGACCTCCGTTTGCTCAGAAGTTTCCTATTGAGTTTCCTTTTTCAAATCACTTCAGACTTACCTTCACTTTTTGTACTTCCCATTACTTTCATTCATTTCACACATTACTGAATGATAATTACAAGATCCAATCAGTGTACAACAACAATGCAAAAGAGATAAACTAGATCCAGAAGTCATTATCCAAAGTTAAACATTTGTATGTCCCATTGATGTCAGTGGGAGATATCTGAACCCTGAACTTAACTATTTACTCAGCAGCAAGTTCTACTGAATTCAGTTTGGAGGCTATTGCCAAGAAATTGTGACTAGAATTGCAGCTTTAACCACATGCTTAATTTCCCCACTGAAATCAGTGGTACTTGAAAGCATTTGGCTGAATCATGTCCCGAAACTATAACAGAATCCCAAATTAATTAGGCAAAGCTGCTCTTTGTACTTATAAAAATTGTAGGTGGCTGGCACAGTGTTAAAAGAGACATTATCCGTTTATTCTCTTCTGAAGTGGCACCTGGTAAATAGTACAGATAACAGAAATGTACAGAGAAGCATTTTTCTTTATATCTATAAATGAAGTAGTTTTCAGGCCAAACATGACATAATAAATCAGTCTCAGGGGCCTCCAGTTTCTGTTGGGAACATAGCGCAAAGGAAGAGTCAGTTTGACCCTTTCCTCTCCTTCCCCATTACCTAACCTGCTATTAGCCTTGGAAGGGAAAACTCCATCAGAGCTAATGGAGCCTTCCCTTCTGGAGTTAACAGCAGGCACAGGGATTATTTTTGTCAGGAAGAAAGGGTTAAACCATTCCCTCATCAGGCGAAATATTCCCTACACCTCCTTTTTTAAAAACCTATTGATGGGATGATTCCTAATGACACACTTGGCATCACATCTAGTTTTCCTCTTACAAAGATAATTAAAAGGTGGAGCTGGTTAGGGCTCATCTCATACCCAGCATAATTCTTGGGCATCTCCACATGCTGCAGGATTACAACTCTCATCATCCTTGATCATGTTGGGTGGTGTTGATGGGAATTGGAGTTGTGTTTTAATGCTGTAATCTACCCTAGGACCTTAGGGTAAAGGCCAGGCAGGCAGGCAATCAATCAATCAATCAATGCAATGCCTATTATTATTATTATTATGCCACCCTGAGCAGCTTCCAAAAAATTAAAACATCAAACACAGTAAAACATCAAACATTAAAAACTTCCTAATACAGGGCTGCCTTCAGATGTCTTCTAAAAGTCAGAGAGTTACTTATCTCCTTGACATCTGACAGGAGGACGTTTCACAGGGTGGGTGTGACTACCAATAAGGCCCTCTGCCTGGTTCCCTGTAACCTCACTTCTTGTAGGAAAGGAACCGCCAGAAGACCCTTGGAGCTGGACTTCAGTGTCCAGGCAGAATGATGGGGATGTAGACGCTCCTTCAGGTACATTACTACTACTACAACTTGCATATTGCCCTTCATATAGGGCCAAAGCTATTTAGGGCTTTAAAGTTCAGCACCAACACTTTGAATTATGCTCAGAAATGTACTGGGATCCAATGTAGATCTTTTAGGACCAGTGTTATACGGTCCTGTTGGCCGCTCCCAGTCACCAATCTAGCAGCCACATTCTGGATTAGCTGTACTTTCTGCATCGCCTTCAAAGGTAGCCCCACTGTAGAGTGAATTGAATTGCAGTATTCCAAGCAGGAGCTAACCAGAGCATGTTTCACTCTGGTGAGACAGTGTGCAGGCAGGTAGGGGACCACAGGTCTCACCTCTGACCTGGAGGAAGGTATATGGTGGGATTCCAAAAAGCAGGATTCCAAAAAGCACAACACAGCGCCATCATGGGGTCTCTAGCCTGCAGCTCCCAGAAACCAGAGATGGGGAATCTGACAGAAAGAGGGTGGATTTGTACGCGAGCAAGCAAGATAATGTTTTTTATCCATTAAGATTACACTTAATAGGTTTCTCTCCGTCTTATTATATGTTTAAATGTCAAGTAATCTGAGGCCAAAATACCATTTTCCCTTGCATTTCCCCCCATGTTCCTCCAATGTACCAATGTCCTTAATAATGCCCTGTAGTTATTTGCTGAGCTTTCTGTCTAAGATGCATATGTATGCATCTTGTATTTAGATTAGGATAAAATTATCGCCACAATATTCACTACCTTTCAAATATGCAAATCAGCGCTGTGTATTCAATTTTAATGTATGAGTAGAAACTGAACTGGTTAGTTCAGCTGGGTCAGACCTTTAGCAGGCTTGAAGCGGAATGAAATTACAACAACTTTAGTCACGGCTGAATCCAAAACAAAACTGAGTCAAACACATCTAATGCATTAATTTCCTGAAATTTTGTCTCAACTAAACACGTGCACACACACATACACACTTCAAAGAAAGAGACAGAGAAAAAATTATCCAAATATTTTTGCTAGTTTTAATTAATGTTTTTTTTTTCACCTTCCCTTTTTTTCTGCTTTGTATTATGATAAAAAGTTCACAAGAGGAGGTTTTTGTATTTTCGTTTGTAATGTCCATCCTTTCTTCTCTCTTCCTCAGCCTCCTTCCCCTTTACACCTGTGTCCATGGGGCAACCAGGTGGAAGTCAGATGTGCAGGAATATCACCTGTTTGGTGAGCTTCTTTTCTGCCACGTCCTAGAGGTCAAAGGCAGTGACTCTGTTCCTCGACATTTGCAAAACTGAATTTGGGTACCTTGGACTGCTGCCTCTGTGGGCCGGTCCTCAGGATGCTATTTACCTATGCAGATTTCAAATGCGATGCATGGAGGCGAACGAATCGCGTGGGTGGATCAAATCTGGGCTCGTGACACTGTCAACACATGCATTAAGGCTGTCAGTTCTGACAGCTGAAAGAGAACGGGAGACATTTGCCTTGGCTGTAACTTAGAATCATAGGATTTTTTTTTTAGAGTTGGAAAGGACCCTGAGGATCATCTAGTCCAACCCCAAGCAATACGGGAATATGCAGCTGTCTCATACGGGGATCGAACCTGCAATCTTAGTGTTATCAGCACCACGCTCTTTAACCAACTGAGCTATGCGTGAACTTGCCTCTATGTTTCCCGTTGATCTGAAATACTGCACACACCTGCTTTGAAACGCATTGCCTTCCACACAATGCCGTATGCACTCACGGCGTTCACACGTCCCAAGCAAGCAAGCAGCAGAGAGGCTCAAGAGTACCTTAAAATGATTTACACGTGCGCTGGCTGGAACCCGCAAAACCAGCTACAGGTTTATTGCTTTGCAGACCCGCTCAGCTGCCGTTCTGTGATGGTAGAGCGACCTCTACTGTTCACACGGGCGCGTTGCAGCTTCGGCGACTACTGGCAAGACCGGGGCATTCTCTCTTCATTCATATGAATGAAGTTGAAGCTGGACTGCAAGCAACCATTTCCTTGGCATCCAAAGAATTTATGTGGATGCATTTATTTTTGAATGTTCATTCGCCTGCATTGCAAGCCCCTCTGAATGATGCACTTTCTCTGGTTGCAATCCCAACAAACGACAGCCATGCGGGGAGGGGGGGATATCTGCAAGCCCCTGGCTATTGCACTACAAGGCAAAGACCCACCACCGTGCAGCGGACTTCGCCCCAGATCCGGCTATGTAACTCCTTTCTCGAGGGTGGGGCTTTGAGGCTTTGGAGGGGGCGGGGTTTCTGACATCACATCCTGCTTGGGCCTTGTTGTGGGTTTTCTTTGAAAAGGGAAAATATCCTTTTGCTTGCAAAGGGGGATGCTAGCAGTATTTGTCTTTTCCTAAAAGAAGGTGGGGGGAAAGAGGGGTGCAAACTCGGGCGGCCTTGCTGGTGGCCCCGCGGGTGGCTTGCTTGGTGGCGGGGGTGGAGGATTTGGAACAAAGAAGCTTGTCTTCCCCCCCCCCCAACACACCAGCCTATTTGCAACAAAGAATATCTAGTGGGGGGGAGGCAGGCAAGGGAGGAAGGAAGGAAGGGGGGAAAAAGGGATGCAACATTAATCTTCCCCTTTAGGACTCGTGGCTGGAATAAATTCCGGGAGAGCAAGAAGCAGGAGACGACAGCAACAAAGGAGCTGGCCAGAGATGTGAGCAGTCCCCTTGAGTCTTCCGTGGGGCTGGGAAGGATGGAGAGGGAGGGAGGCAGGGCGGGCGAGAGTTGTCCTGACAGCTTGGGAAAGGAGATGGGGAGTTAGCTCACAAAGCTCAGCGCCCAGAACCTTCCCCACCACCACCACCACCACTCCGGATTTTCGGCCTGGGGCATCTTGGAGATGGATACAGGATCCGGAATTGGGAAAGGAAGGTGTTTTTGGAGAGAGAAGTTGGTCCTTCCCGTAGGCCTGCTCTGCCTCCCTCTCTCTGTTTAGACTACAGGGGCAAGCAGGTGTTATTGATGATGCTATGCACTGCATTAAGTGGATTTTGATGGAATTGCATTAATTGTACCGTGCTATGCAAATAGTACTTTTTGCAGTTGTTGGTTCCTGGTGTGAAATAACAGTAATGTGATGTATTGTTGTATTCTGTATTGCTAAACGTGTTAAGGGGGGGGTTGCATTTGTTTGCAGCTGACAGAGTTGTGGTTGGAATTAAGAGTGGAGGAGTTTGTGCAAGGGTTTTCGGGTGGGGAGGGGGATAGTACTGGGCTACGTGAGCTCCACGGAGTTGCATCCGTACTGGGATAGGAGTTGAGTATTTGTAGAGTAAGCAGAAGGTCTAGGACCTGAGCACTGCATTTGGAGGTGATGCAACTGCGAAGAGATGATGGATTGGTGTGCAGCAGCCTGGGCAGGTTTTTCTCTGCTGTCCTTACATGCACTGTTTGTTCATTCTGCTATTTAAATAGTGGGATTCCTCACAGCTAGTGGCAGGGTGGCTCGGTGTAAAGGGTGACCCTAGAGCCCTGTGCTTCTAGTGCAGGGGTAACAAACATGATGTTTTGGACTACAACTCCCATCGTCCAGCTGGCTGGGTTGATGGGAGTTGTAGTCTGTAACATCTGGAGGGTACCACACTTGCTTCCTCACCTTTATTCTAAAGATGAGGGGATTTTGGGCAAGTGCGTCTAGCTGTGCAGTGATGAGAAGAGTGCCTATATACCCGCTAAGGTTCTCTCTCTTCATGGTTGTTAAAAAGTGCAGGAGCCCTGTTGTCCCTTGCAATTGGTTACCCCAATACTTATTTACACACAGAGAGGTTGTGAGTGAGTAGTTGCAGTTTATGTGTATGAAGGAGAATAAAGATTGAGTGGCTTAGTGTGAAGGTAATTTCTCAATACCTTTGGAGACCTATCAGGAGAGTAAATAGCAGTGATGGGGTATGTTGTCTAGTACAAATGAGGGCAGGCACATGTTCTTTACAATTCCTTATATTAATGGGGAAGGACTTGGGACTTGCATTATAGAACAACTTTAAAAATATACACAAACTCTTAACTAATATCTAAAAGTCATACAATGCCCTTTTAAAATGTGTTGGGGCGGGTTATTGGGTTGCTTTTGTTTTTATTTTGACTATGTGTTTTGTGTTTTTACATTGTGATTTTATTTGGTGAACCTCCCTGAGACCTGCAGGTATAGGGCGGTGTATAAATTTAATTTAATAATAATAATATAGGACTGCATGCAAAGGGGGAGACTGGCCTTCATATAGATTCATATTCCTCTTTTGTTTCCAAATGAACAGCCCACCCTGCATTTGAAGGAATTATGTTCCGGTTCATGAGAGATGGAGAGCCAGAGGACCCGATGTTTGTGATGTGAGTACTCCAGTTTTGCCTCCTGGAGGGAAGCAGTGGACAGAGGGGAGGGATAGGTTTGGTGTGAACTGCTTCAATACCTAACTCCCTTGTGTATCATCTCCTCTTCCTTCAGGGACCCTCTTGCCATCCACCACCAGCATGTGAACCGTGTGCTCTCAGGTGGCTTTGGTTATAGCCCCTTCCTCAGCATTGGCAACGGGACTGTCCCTGCAACACGCCAGACTAGCCGAAGAATGCAGGTAATGGAAATCTGGAGACTTTGACTGGGTCTGTTTTTTCCCCTTTTGTACAAATGCAAGTAAAGAAAAAGAGCCATATCCCTCTGCCATTTTTCTTCCTAAATAATAATCAGCATTTTGAACATAGGAAACTATACCGAGTCAAGTTGTTGGTCTAACTAGCCTGATTTGGCTACTCTGACTAGAAGTGGCTTTCCCAAAATTTCAGGGAGAGATAATTTCCCTCACTTCTCTGCCTCTCAACCTGAGACTAGCAGAGATTTTCTGAAAAACATGTTGTGCCACTGAGCTTCAGCCTTGATTTTTTCCTCGCAGCTGTAGTACACAGGGTTGATGTTTCACCTTGCTTCCTATTATGACCCCAGGACAAGTCTTGTAAGTCATAGCCTTATGAAGTTCATCAGTATGTCAGGTTCAGGCCCAAAGGAGTGGTTGGGTACAGGGATACCAAAGAAAGATGTCAAAAACATCAGAACGACCAGTTCTAGTGCTTTATTAAAGAAAGGTGTTACAGCAAATTAGCCTGCCAGGTCTCCCAGCCTTTATAGACACGGGACCAACATGGCAGCAAGGAGATGGCTTGTCTACGCCCAAGAAACATTCATGCCTTCTTTATTCGCAAAGCAACATTCACCACTTGGGCCAGGACTTCCCTTCAGATGAGGGCATAGGTGGCAAATACCCAAATCTTACAGATAATTCCCCTTTCTGGGCTCAGAGCCCAGCACTCCAAGCCCACAGATCAGGATAATGTCAAAACAAGCCAATTGCCGTATTTTTCGCTCTAGAAGACGCACCAGACCACAAGACGCACCTAGTTTTTGGAGGAGGAAAACAAGAAAAAATATATTCTGAATCTCAGAAGCCAGAACAGCAAGAGGGATCGCTGTGCAGTGAAAGCAGCGATCCCTCTTGCTGTTCTGGCTTCTGGGATAGCTGCGCAGCCTGCATTCGCTCCATAAGACGCACACACATTTCCCCTTACTTTTTAGGAGGGAAAAAGTGAGTCTTCTAGAGCAAAAAATACAGTAGCTTATAGCAACAACATATATGAGCTCATTGCTGCAACAACTACCAATTAATTGTGGGGTTATCTTGACTACCAAGATGGCATTTGCAGAGCTTTCGGAACAGTTCACCTTGGGTTCAACACAAGAGAGATCCTATTGAACACATCACAAATTTGTTTGGGCTTTCAGTATCCTTAGTAAGTTGGTTAACCTGGTTAATTTATTGTCTCCATGGGTGAACTGCTGAGAAAAATAAATAGCAGAACCAGAACAGAGTAGCTGAGGGTGGGCAAACAGTTCTTTTCCTCCTGCTTTCTGTTCTTCATTCAGTTGCCAGTTTATAAGAAACCAGGCAGTTTTACCACATGACTGATAAGGAGATTTAGGAGTATTTAGTGTGGGGGTGAGGAAACAAAGGCCCTCCAGATGTTATTGGACACTAACTTCCATCAGCCCTGCCTGCAGGGCCAGTGTTCAGGCATGATTCCCCAGCCCTGCTAGTGAGATATTTTTCAAAAGCATTTTGCAAGTCCATCGGGTTTCCTCTTTAAAATGCCAAAGAATTTTTAAAGTGAAAAATGTTCATTTTCAAATATTTTTTGTTGAAACAAGACTGGACATTTTCTTGGTCTTCCTTTCGCTCACCCACTTACTCCTTTTATTTTAATAGTCCTACGTTCTCTTCCTGGTTCGCTGCTGGATTAGGGTTTTTGTGTAGGGTTTGTTTGTTTGTTTGTTTAAATCTTCATTTGGGCATTGCTTCCAGTTCTTAAATGAAGCGTCCTTGCCTTTTATAATTATAATATTTATTTTTTTACTTATTACTAACCTTTCTAATCTGTAGGATGTGTTTTATTTGGCTTTCTATTATATGACATTATATAACCTGCAAGCTTCTTAAAGAGATTTGACCTTGCTTTTAAATTTCTTTTTAAATGCTTGTTCCACTTTTGAGAGATTCTCTATTTTGAAATTAAATTACTCGGATGATAGACTTGAGGAGCTGATGTCATGCTATAGCTCCCCCTCTTGAATCTTTTAACTGAGTGAGTGAGCCCCTTTGTTATTCTAAGATGTGGGTAGGAGAGATGTTTATTACAGAAGGGTAGCTTGTCATTGTTCTTTATGCCTCTGTCCTTTTACAGGCAGGAACTGTTTCGCCCTTTGGGATGCTAGGAATGGTAAGCCCTGCTGTTCTTCTCCCCACACAAGCGTAGTTCTCTGAATCTTTTCCTCTGAGTAACATTCCAGATTTCTTCTGTGCAGAGTGTAATCTCGAAATCATGAAAGTAATGATACTTGTAAATTCCTCGACAGAAAGGGAGAATGTGGAGGCTTACTCTGTTCTGATAGGAGAATTATAAAGGCCATGATAAAGGGGGGAAGGAATCCCCTTCTGCCTTTCAAGAGAAAAATAAAAAAGAAGTCAGAAGGGGAGAAAATTTTGAATAATAGATTAGAGTTTTGCAGAATGGCTGTACCTGTATGTCACTGTAAGCCATAGGTAAAGTTTACTGTGGTTTAAAGGCTTTTTCTGCATGCTGGTGCATTAGAAGAAAATAGAATAATATAGAATCGGAGTCTTGTGGATCATCTAGTCCAACCCTCTGCAATGCAGGAATATCCAGCTGTCTCTTACGGGGATCAAACCCGCAACCTTTCTGTTGTCAACACCACGCTCTAACCAACTGAACCATGCAATAGCAGCATAAGTAATGCAAAGAGGAAACTTTTGTGATGGTTTTTTTCCTCCCCCACTCCTGCTGCTGTTGCACTGCCAGGAGCTATGGTTTGGTTTTGCTTAGTATTATGTCCGAACCCAGGCTTGTGGTTTGCGTCCCCCAAACAAACCATGAGAGAATGGTAAGTCAGTAACAATCCTTGGTTACAGGTCATAGTTTATTTGGAGAGAGACAAACCAGGGCCCTGGGTTTGGACATCACGAAACCATGGCTTCGCTCCCTGTAGTGCAGCAGGATTCTGAGCAGGGAGAGGAATGAAGGGGTTGTGATTTGCTCCCTGTTCACCGTTACATTGCACGTTCACTTTTAAACCATAACTTAGCTATAGTTTAAAGTGATGTGTGATTGTGAATTTGGCTGTCTCGGGAGATTTTTCAGTCAAGATCATGGGAGTGGTGGGAAAAATGGACTGCTTATTTGGATAATGAGGGCACTCAGGGAGGTTAGCTGGTAAGTGGGGAGAATCAACTTGCACATTGTGTGAGCACAAACCATTTCCAAATGGCATTTGAATTTGACAAAACCAAATTGGACATTGGGCCATAGCCATGAGGCCAAAGAGATATCCAGGAGTCCACACATTTTTGGCTTGGAAACTAAGTTCCTGGATATATTGTTTTTTACCTTGAATAACTTGGTGCTGGCTGCTTAGTTTCAGAGTAATTGATAGTGTGCAGATCTTGTTGTGCTGACTGATATTCCAAAGAATATTTAGCCTAAATGTGAATATGTCCAAAATTGAGATGAAATCCGACGCACTAAGAACATGTACTGATGTAGATTTAATTTAAATTTCCTACTCTAAAAATTGTGGCTTTCCCGATTCCTTCCTTTGTATGCTTTTGTGTGTACGAAGTAACAACTTGTAACTTTAGCACTGTAAATATAGAACGGGGGTGTGTGGCAATGTTGTGTATTGATCAGAGTTTGGACTAGGTAGCCCTAGATTCAAATCAGTGTTCAGACATGAGGCTCACTGGGTGACCCTAAGCCACTCAGTCTCTGTCCTAATTTAGTAAATCTTTGTCTTAAATTAGACTGCACGAACAGGAGGGATTGTGAGGACAAAAAGAGTACAGTGCCTTCAGTTTTACGGAGAAAAGACAAGCTAGTAGTTGCTCTTGAGTGTAATCCAGAGTATGTCCCTTGGGTTTCGGGCAGAGGCGGGGAGCTGGATCACTCCGGGGGGGCAGATCCTTTTATCGACACACCCCTTTGCACAGTAGGCAGCATTCCAGCAATGCAAAAGTCAGAGGTTTCTACATGCATGCCCGTCCACAATCACACTCCATCCAGGAAAGCAAAAGGCATTGGCATAGTTCAAAGGCAGAAGTGCTCCGTGAGGGTGCAGACCAGGCCTGTGAGTCCTGTAGCCCAAAGAGAGAAGTTTCCCATTGTTGATTTGGGGCATAGTCACCCTTGAAACGGTACTGTGCACTCATGAGGGTCTGGCAACAGTCTAGACTTAGTCAGCAGTGGCAATCCTTGATATTTGCAGGTGTTCATGTAAACAATAATTAAAAAAGGAGTAGAAACTCTGTTCATTCTATCTGAGCATTATTTGTGCCTTCATTGACTGATCACTCTCCCCAAACCTCAGCTCTTTTCCTATACTCTTTCCTTCAGGCAGGTGGTTTTATGGACATGTTCGGAATGATGAATGATATGATTGGGAACATGGTAAGACCCCCTGTGTGCATTCCTGTTGCATGGTATGAACCCTGTGTTTGCATCTTTCCGTTCAGTTGCACCACGGTCATCCCCGACAACTGATCCCATGACAGAAGTGACACAGCTGATTTTGTGATGCGCTGCTGCATGACACCCGCTGCACGGCTTGGGTGACTTGTAGACGTGGCTGTGACTTTGCTGCCCCGGAAGACAGATTCTTGCTTATGCCCAGGGCTCTGTGTACGTGGCAATTCTAATGTAGAGTGCTGTGCGCACACATACCCCTGCGAAAAATGCAAATCAGAGCGTAATATTGGGAACAGAATTCTTGAGGATCTTGGTTATCACTGTGAGAAGATATGCTTGAAATCAATACCTGCTGGAATCTCAGCCGAACTAGTAGTTGAATAAAATTTCCAGCTGCTGGATTCCAGTGCCCTGCCTAGATCATTATCCCGCCTTCCCTGACCCACAAACTCAGAGTAGATTTTGCAAAGTGGCAACAGCTGCAGAGTAAGACTCATTAAAAAAATTCAATAAATTTCTGGCCTAGTTTATACAAGTTACAGAACTCTGATTGCTTGTAAGCAGAATTTTATTTGTTTAAATTTTTATTCCCCGATGTAGGGTGCACACAGCCCTCTTGAGGCCTTTGGGGGTGAAGTGGTGGCAAATCAGCTTTTAAGCATGTGCAGAGTTAGTTAATATTTTCTCCTAGTTCCAAACAAGTTGTGCCCCATTCTTGCTCCTTGAAAAGTGTAGGAGGGGAGATACCCCCTTTCAATACATTTTTCAAAATGTCAAGAAAAACCCAGAAAGTCGGAGGAGGGGAGACTTGTTTGCAGAAATGGTGGTTTTCATTCTGTAGTCGCAAGAGTTCTGTGGATGGCTCCAGTAAGGCTGCTCACCTTCTTTGATCTTTTGCGTGTCCAGGAGCACATGACTAGTGGTTCCAACTGCCAGACGTTTACCTCTTCAACTGTCATATCCTACTCGAATCTGGGGGAGGGCCCCAAAGTCTATCAGGAGACCTCAGAGACACGCTCTGCACCTGGTGGGGTAAGAAAGAGACTGTTTTCTTCTACTAGAATTTTCAACAAGTCCATGGATTGCTGGTCCCACCGGGTGTATAGGCATTCTTATAAGAAAAAAACTGCTCCTTCTCCCTTATGGAGTACTGAAGAGCCCGTATAGAGTCCTTATGTAGGTTCTCTATCAGTAGGAGAAACTAACAGAGGCCAACCAGAGAATATTGAGAAGCAAAGCAGCTAGTAAGCCTGATCTTTATTAAACTGTTGCAACAGGGTCCTCACTCACCACACGCAGGAGGGAAGAGGAACCCAGCTCAATGGTGCACAAGCCCATATATACTTTTGAAATTGCCTAATACATCATACGTACATCACTGGAGGGGCGGTCTACAGCAGAATCTTGTCTGGCAGGAAACCTGTTGATGGGTTTACCTGGAGAGCCTTGCCATTCTTTTGTGATGATATATACTTAATTCCTGAGTCCAGGTCACAGGCCCTATTAATACCCAAATGTGCCCTTAAGGCAGGGTTTGTGAGCACAGAGACAATGGGGAGGCTTTTCCCATTTCCGTCCAAACTGCAGAGGAATATCTGAGGTCACTGAAAGAGTCAAAATGGCTTTAGGACTGTTTTTCTGTACTGTTTCAGACATATGGTTTATATATTTCTGTATGTGTTTGCATGGTACATTTATGAACATTTATTTTATATCTTAGACCTTATAATTCTCATAACAGCATCAATGCAGACTGGGTGTGCTGAGGGTCAACATACAAGATTCAGAATCTCTGGTGGGTTTATGTTTTCCGGTGCAGGATGAATTCTTATGTAGGGAAAACAGATTTGATGACTAAAATTACCTGCTGTGAACTTTGAGGCAAACCACTTGGCTTCCGTTTGAGAAGATACAGGGAGTTAAAAGGCTATCAAAATAGTTCCGCAACCCCAAATTACGACTTTGTTCTCTTGTCCTTAGATCCGGGAGACGAGGCGGACGGTGCGAGACTCTGACAGCGGTCTGGAGCAGATGTCTATTGGACACCACATCCGGGAACGCGCGCACATCATGCAGCGCTCACGCAATCACCGCACGGGTGACCAAGAGGAGAGGCAAGACTACATCAACCTGGATGAGAGTGAGTGTTTCCCTCTGGCTCCTCCCCTTCCTCGAGACGGTCTGCTCAGCCTCACCCTCCCACTCAGTGGCCTCCTCTCCCCCGTTCCCATTTTCAGTACGTTTTGAATTGTGCTCCCAGTACGTTTCCGAGCACAATTCAAAGTGTTGGTGCTGACCTTTAAAGCCCTAAACGGCCTCGGCCCAGTATACCTGAAGGAGCGTCTCCACCCCCATCGTTCTGCCCGGACACTGAGGTCCAGCGCCGAGGGCCTTCTGGCGGTTCCCTCATTGCGAGAAGCCAAGTTACAGGGAACCAGGCAGAGGGCCTTCTCGGTAGTGGCGCCCGCCCTGTGGAACGCCCTCCCACCAGATGTCAAAGAGAACAACTACCAGACTCTTAGAAGACATCTGAAGGCAGCCCTGTTTAGGGAAGCTTTTAATGTTTGATGTATTACAGTGTTTTAATATTTTCTTGGAAGCTGCCCAGAGTGGTTGGGGAAGCCCAGCCAGATGGGCGGGGTATAAATAATAAATTATTATTATTATTTCAGGTGATGCCGCTGCGTTTGACGACGAATGGAGGCGCGAAACATCCCGCTTCCGGACGCAAAGAGGGCTGGAATACCGGCGCCACGAGGGAAGCAATGGCCGCCGGGCCGAAGGGGCCCGCCTTGCTATTCAGGGACCTGAAGATTCTCCAACCAGACAGTCGCGCCGGTACGACTGGTGAACCCAGAGCAGACTTAAGGGGGGTGTGATGCGGTCACCCCCAAATCTACCTTCATGCTCTTGTAAGTCTTAACTGTTGCCCTTTGCATGCATGCTGTGCCCCAGGGTATGCCTGCCCAGCTTCTCAGTTGGGGTACAACCTGGCGAACCGGACTACTTTTTCAGTGCAGCTTTGGGCCTGTGACTTACCTCTGTGCCCAGCAGTGGTCACCTTCATTTTTTTTAGTATTTTTTAAAACACTCACACACAAAAATACTGGCATATACAGGAAAACAGCATGCACATGTGCCTGGCTAGGCCTTAAAGTTGGTGATATTTACAGAGCATGTTAAGGTGCAGCAGGCTGCCACAAGTAGGGCGTAGGAGGGAGTCATGGATAAGAAGAAACCTGAGCTTTCTGGAAGGAGGGTTGTTGCTCTCCGTGTGTCAGAAGCAGAGGCTTCTGGGAATTACAGAGAATGAGGAGTGGTTGACGAGAGATTATTTTGATAAAATCTAATAAAACGCTTCGAAACATAGTAGGGTATATGATTCATCTGGTGGCTCCTGGTGCAATTCTGTTTCTGAAAAGAAGCCTGATAGAGCTTTGTCGTTACTTTTATGGGAGGCCATCAGGAAGCGCCAAGCATGCTACCCTGAGTCTTGAGCAAAGGCAGTTTGCAGGGCGGAAAGTTAGTCCAAGGCCCTTTGCAGCCCTGGAAGTGGGTCCCAGAGGTTCCATGCTTTTTCCAGTCAGGATCTCATTGTGGAGAGAATCAACAGCTAATGCTTGTGCTTCCACTGAGCACCCACAAGAATAGAGTATTGCACCATCTTTTCAAAAGTAATCTCTTATTCTGCTGGGCTGTTCATCTTCCCAAAGGCACACCTGGCTGCAGCCACGATTGTTGATAACATAAGGAAGGGAGGAATCTAAGGGCACCATCACATCATCAGATTGCAGCCACACTTAGAAATAAATCCAAACCTGTTTCAATGAGGTTTATTTCAAAGTGAATAAATTTGTTGCCTTGGTTTGAAATGGGGCAACTGTCCTCACTTGTCTTCAGGAAGTTTTGGAATGATTGCTTTTAGAGGCTTTTTGGCTTGTCTTGCAAAGAGAATTCCCTTCTCACACAACCACAGTTGAGAGCAAGGGAGGCTGTAGTATGGAAATGTTGTAAGTTAGAGTTGGGGAATAGCAGATGTTGTTAAAGACTCCAGCTCCCATTTTCCCTGGTCACTGGCCATGCTGGCTGGGGATGATGGGAATTGGGGGGTCCAGAAAAATCTGGAGGACCACAAAATAGTCCTCTCTGGCCTGAGCCATGAGCAAGGTACACATACCATGCCAGGAACTAGGCACCTGAGCTGCTTTAAAAAAAGAAAGAAAGAAAACTTGGATTTAGTTTCTGCTGATAGGTTTGATTGAATGAAAGCAAATTCTCATTTGGCTCAAGTGGCTAAAGATGCTTTAACAGTGTTCAAAGCTAGAGGTTGACTTACTGAGGTGGTACATTTCAGATTAGCAGCTGGGAAATTCCATGGCTCCATTCAAAAAGAAGAAAAGAGTCTTCCATAGAGAAGATAGATGAGAAGGGGAGGGGGGAGTTCTAGCCTACAGTCTCTCTGAGAGGCCAGGTTTTTGTGTGTGCAGGAGCTTTCCTATAGAGAGGGAAATTCCACTGTGAGCCCCAAGCTGCAATCTGAAATTGTACAGCCCTGAAACAAATTGATCATCCCCGTGAGATCTCAGCCATGGGGGTTTTGCACTGAGTTTCCTGTTTTTCTCGCTCGCTGTTCCTTCTGCATTTCCCTTCTGTTCCCTTTCTGATTTCTATTGTTTCTCTTCTTCTCCTCCTCCTCTTGCTCAGGTACAGACAGTGAAACTCTGATGGCGAAGCCCCTGCGAAACATCACTTGGACCTTCCTCAAGTTGAATACTAGCCTCCTGCCCCTCTTTTAAGATATAAATTAAGTGACTAACTCTCTCTCCACAGTTGTACTCCTTGCATAGAGCAGGTGGCCGAGGGGAATGGGAGGGACCTTGTCCATGAATGAGTGACACATCAATTTTACTTCGTTCTTTTTCCTCTTAACTCCTCCCTGCCCTTCACTGAGCTACCCAATCCCTCCCCTTCGTGTTTTTTGGAGGGGTGCAGGAGTGGTCTCCCTCAGTTTTTGCCACCCCCTCTATTTCCTGCTCCAAGTTTGGCTGGTTCCGAAGTTTGTATTTAATCTACCCACCCACCTCAAGTGGCAACCAAGTAAGGAAACCTGTTGACCTGCTATTAGTTTCAAGCACTTGGAAAAATAACCTTTAGTCGCCTTTGCTCTCGGCCTGCCTGCCTGCCTGCCTGCCTGCCTGCCCTGGAAATGGGGTATGTATGAAAGGGTGGAAGGGATCAGGTGAGGTGTGGACAAACAAAACAGGCCCTACCTCTCTGCCCCAATCCAGTCAGCTCCCCATCTTATAAAATTTGATTTCGTGAAACTTGTAACTAGATGTTTACTGAGTTGAATAAAGAAATGGAACCTGTAAAGCAAGTGGAGTCGGCCTCTATCTCCCATCTTTGCGTCTCTTGAGTTCTCAAGGGATACAGGGCCTATTCTTTGAACACCTGGCCTCAAAAGTCCGCATTTCCTCTTATGAATCAGTCAGTTTGACAAGCTGTGCGTATGGCAAGTTTTATTAAAAACCTTTACCCTTTCTTCCCAGTGCGTGTGACTGTTTGCAAGATGGAATCCTTGACAGAACAAGAGTAGCACTAAATCCCCGGGCCCTGAAGTTGTAATCTTGATCAGAATGAAAATGGCCTGTTTTCCTTCTCTCTCAGACTGGCAGCTCTTGTGAGGAATACTTAATATTCTGCCTGGACATGGCTAAACACTGGAGGGTTAAGTTCTTTACAACTATTGCTTTAAAATGGATCTCTTAAAATACATCAGGTGTCCCTCTGTCATATTCAGCATTATACCAGCGAAACATGGAATTAGCTCTGGCAGATTAGGCAGGCAACCAACATATTCTACTGTGTTAATAATTGCACTTCGCAAGCAAGCCTCAGACAGCATTGCCACCAGATCCTTCCAGCCTAGGTCCAGTGTTCACAGCATGTCCATTGTTTGCCGTAGCACTTAATGACTCCACTGAGAAGTAGGGCTTGTCTCTGTGTATTCATCTTACTTGCCCTAAGCTGCTGTAGGTAACTGAGCTGCAGATTTCAGAGGCTCATTAGATGGCAAAATGTCCATCTGAGACAAAGGTGAGTTCATATCTGGAGCTGAAACCTTTTGTTGAAGCCTTCAGTGTCACAGTTCAGAAAGCCATCTCGTTTTGGGAAGGCAATTCTGCTTTGTTTCATACTTCTTCTACTCCAGTTGGATGTCTTGAGTGAGGCCAAACCTCTTTATTGAGCAAGTGTGTGTTATTCGATTTCGAAACTAAGTGGTCTGCATAAAATAATATAAAAATATTTGTTTAAAAATAGCAACTTTAGAACAGCAGACAATAAAACAATCAATATACAGTCAAACCCTGGATCCCGAACACCTCCGTTTTGGAATGTTTCTGCTCCTGAACACTGAAAACCCGGTTTTCAAATGTTTTTCGGAAGCCAAATGTCTGATGCGGCTTCCGCTTGGTTCCAATCGGTTGTCGAACATTTTGGAAGCTGAAAGGGCTTCTGGAATGGATTACATTCAACAACCGAGATTTGACTGTATAGATTAAAAAACAAATACCCACAACAAATTACAAGTCACTTTTCTGGAACGTCATTCACCATGGTCTCCACACGTGGAGCAAGGCTGGCTGAATCCAAGGTTTCTGTAGCTGGGGCAATATCATAGAAGCTGAATACTGCAACCAAGACCCAACCGAGAGAGTGGGGGAGTCTGAATCCAAAGGAGGCCCTGCAGGCGTTAGAGGAGATGCCCACAGAAAGGAAGGTTGGTGGGAGGCGAGAGACTCTGCCTTGCCTTGTTGCCAGGCCTTGAGGGCTGATGTAATGGTAGACCTGGGCCCTGAAATCCTTTCCAAATGTTGTAGGATCTGAGATTTCATCTCCTGTGCCGAAGAGGAGCCAGCTGAGTTAAGGAAGGTACAGATGGTATTGACGCAGTGGCAGTAACCAGAAACAAAATCTTGACTGTCTTGCGGAATGGAAGCAGCAACTGCACCTGGAGAGGAGAGGAGAGGAGAGGAGAGGAAAGTTAGGAACAGGAGCTTCCCTGGCAGACAATAAGCAGCAGTCTGAGTGCTGGCGCTCAGCATCTTTTTACATGGCCTTGCAGAAAGAAGGGCTCAGGAAAAATACTTCTAACCTTGCTTCTTCAGCCTGCGCAGCTGCTGCACCGTCGTCTCCAGAATCTCAGCCTTCTCCAAACGTGATAAGGCTCTGGCGTTCTGTGGAGGATAAAACACAACAGCCCAAAACACATCATCTTTTTAAAAAGTCCTATCTACCTTGAGCTTTGGGAAGGGTTCAAAAGTGAATTCATTGCACACAGCACTTACAGTGGTGCCCCGCAAGACGAATGCCTCGCAAGACGGAAAAACCGCTAGACGAAAGGGTTTTCCGTTTTGAAGTTGCTTCGCAGGACGAATTCCCCTATGGGCTTGCTTCGCAAGACGAAAATACCTTGCGAGTCTTGAGATTTTTTTTTCGCTTTTCCCCCCCTTTATCTAATCTGCTAAGCCTTTAATAGCCTTTAATAGCCTTTTAGCAGCTAATCCCCTAAGCCTTTAAGCCTTTAAGAGCCGCTAAACCGCTAATAGCGCTAATAGCGCTAATCCGTCAATGGGCTTGCTTCGCAAGACGAAAAAACCGCTAGACGAAGACTCTCGTGGAACGGATTAATTTCGTCTTGCGAGGCACCACTGTACTGCACTGCATTGGTTCCCTGTTCTTGACACAGAAATGGATTGGTTAAGCCCTAGCTGCGCAGCACAGCTTTGCATTTAAAAAGCAGGGGAAAGATATGTCCAAATTCTGCAACTTTATTATTTGCAACATTTAGTAAGTTTAAGAGAGGAAGCAAGGAGTTACACTGAGTGCTTGGCTCTTGCATAACTGATTATTACTCGGCTATCTTCTTGTCTTCTGAAGATTTCAGAGGTAGCCCACACCCTTTCAAGCACCCACACAGCCCTGCCCTTTCCTGGAGGTTATGGCCTGTGAACTTTCTATGTTTCTAGTTTACACTAGTTTGTCTAACAGTAGTAGTAGTAGTAATAATAATAATAATAATAATAATAAATTTTATTTATACCCCGGCCAGAGCCGGGCTCAGGGCAGCTAACACCAATAAAATTTCAGTAAAAACATAAAACAACAACACCAATTTAAAATACAGGTTAAAATGCAATTTCAAATGCAGCCTCATTTTAAAAGTCAAAACCATAAGGGGACGGAAACATAAGGGTCAGACTGCGTCCAAACCAAAGGCCAGGAGGAACAGCTGTCTTGCAGGTCCTGCAGAAAGATGTCAAGTCCCGTAGGGCCCTAGTCTCTTGTGGCAGAGCGTTCCACCAAGTCGGGGCCAGTACTGAAAAGGCCCCGGCCCTAGTTGAGACCAACCTAACCACCTTGCGACTTGGGACCTCCAAAATGTTGTCATTTGTGGACCTTAAGGTCCTCTGCGGGGCATACCAGGAGAGGCGGTCCCATAGGTACGAGGGTCCTTGGCAGCATAGGGCTTTAAAGGTCAAAACCAGCACCTTAAACCTGACCCTGTACTCCACCAGTACGGGAGATTGATAAGTAATTTTTGCAAGGGATCGCCCAAATTGTATTTAAAATGCTTTTGTTGCCATAGACAATTGCAGCTAAACTTTTGGACTGTGCAGCGGGGAGGGTGTTGTTCTTGCAAATACCAGCACCTCTCAAATCTAAGGAACCGAGTTAAGTTTTGGCCACATGGGAAGCTTGTTTCTGAAAAGACTGAACTCTCCCTTTACCTGTTGATCAGGGAGCTGCTGAAGGAGCTTCCACAGCTGCTCCAGGCTTGCATTAATGCGGGCCCTGCGGCGTTTTTTGGTCAGTGGCTTGATGGACTGGCAGAAGCGAGTGGGAAGAAAAACGAAACTCATCAGAGAACTGAAAGGCAACAAATCTAGGGCATGCCCTGCGCTATGTGCTGGATTAACAACTTGAGGCAATCCCTTAATTGACATGGAGACCATGAACTCCTGAGCCCACACCTATGTCCCCCACACCTGCCCGCCCCTTGTCCCTCAGAAACAGTACTTCTGTCTTGTCAGGATTCAACCCTCACCTAACCCAAAGTTAAATTGTGGAGAATTCCCTCTATCCTAGGCCAAAGTGTGAGGAGAAGTTACTCCTCAGAGTCAGGGCTTTTTTCCCCAGCTGAACTGGCCAGTATTCAGTTCCAGCGCCTCTCAGGTGGGTGCCATTGCCATTATAAGAGAACAAGGGAGGCGTTCATGGTGAGCTCTGGCACCTCTTTTTCTAGAAAAATCATCATCATAAACCTTCATTACGGTCCAGAGACCCAACAAATCGTTACAAAGCAATACACAATTCATACAGCCTGTTGTTGTTTAGTCGTGTCCGACTCTTCGTGACCCCCTGGACCAGAGCACGCCAGGCACTCCTATCTTCCACTGCCTCCCGCAGTTTGGTCAGACCCATGTTTGTAGCTTCGAGAACACTGTCCAACCATCTCGTCCTCTGTCGTCCCCTTCTCCTTGTGCCCTCCATCTTTCCCGACATCAGGGTCTTTTACAGGGAATCTTCTCTTCTCATGAGGTGGCCAAAGTATTGGAGCCTCAGCTTCACGATCTGTCCTTCCAGTGAGCACTCAGGGCTGATTTCCTTAAGAATGGATACGTTTGATCTTCTTGCAGTCCATGGGACTCTCAAGAGTCTCCTCCAGCACCATAATTCAAAAGCATCAATTCTTCGGCGATCAGCCTTCTTTATAGTCCAGCTCTCACTTCCATACATCACTACTGGGAAAACCATAGCTTTAACTATATGGACCTTTGTTGGCAAGGTGATGTCTCTGCTTTTTAAGATGCTGTCTAGGTTTGCCATCGCCTTTTTCCCAAGGAGCAGGCGTCTTTTAATTTCGTGACTGCTGTCACCATCTGCAGTGATCATAGAGCCCAAGAAAGTAAAATCTCTCACTGCCTCCATTTCTTCCCCTTCTATTTGCCAGGAGGTGATGGGCCCAGTGGCCATGATCTTCGTTTTCTTGATGTTGAGCTTCATACAGCCTACCTCCAGGTTAAACAAGCATTTTGTTCAGAATATAGGGATCATTCTTGCAACCACCGATAAAAACTTGGCCACTGCTAATGTTCTAGCATTTGCCCGGTCTTCCAATAGGAACCTGACATAGTGAGCCCCTGATTTTCCCGGAAAAGGTACCAGCAAGGGTAATATCAGTTCAGCCCTGGCTTGCTCATATTTTGTACAGTTCAGCAAAATATGCTTTATGGAATCGATGTCTTGAGCACACGAGCAAAGTCTGTCCTGGTAGGGAACTCCTCTCAACCTGCCATCTAGAAAAATAGCACTGCTCACAGGGTGGGGTGGGGTGGGGTGGGGTGAGCCAGGAGACCCATGGTAATATAAAGCTGCTGTGATGACCTGCTGGGTAAATGTACCCTGAGCATATGATCTGCCCATTAATTTATTTTTGGTATTAAAAACGAGTTCACAGCCCAAGAAAGATGTAAAGGTATTTCTGTATGCCACAACTGCTGCTCGAATTTTAATAGCCCAAAAGTGGAGAACACAAGAATTACCAACTGTGAAAGAATGGCAGATGAAGATGATGGACTTTATGGAGCTAGCTGAACTCACTGGGAGAATCTGCAAGCAGAAAGAAGAGGAATATCAAGAAGATTGGAAGAAATTTAAAGACTATTTGAGTAAATGTAGTAATATTGAAGACTAGAAGTTACTTGAAAGTACTAAATAGGCCTAGGTTTAAATTAGAATTTAATTAAATAAATGAGATATAGAATGTTAAGAAAAGTTAAGAAAGTTGATGATAATTGGAATATTGTTTTTTGAATAATGATATTGGAAAACTGCTACATTTAGTTGCAAGGAAATTCAGATGGAAGAGATTAGAGGAAGTCAAGTAATATGTTTATGAGGTTGGAAGTTTAATTAATTAATTAATTTTTATTTATGTGTTTGTGGTTATATTTTTGTTATTATTCGTTTTATTTCTTTTTTTATTGGTTTTATAGTATGTGATTTTTTTGTATGCAACTTAATAAATATTATTGGGGGGAAATAAAAAAAATAAAACTGAGTTCACAGTCCTTTCACACAACAGTTCAACAACCTAGTTTCCTCTTTCTTTCTTCCTTTGAACAACCTGCATTGCTGAACCACCCAGAAAGGAGATCCTGACCCACCTTGCCTGCCTTGCAAAGCTGAAACAGATTTGTATCCACTCTGTGCCACAGCTGCTTGTCTTTACTGTATAATTTTGAATTTTGGAGCCGGGGAAAACACACACGTGCAAATGCTCTGAACTGATGCCATTACCAGCACATAGACTTAATTGTACAGTGTGTCCTCAGAACACAATTCCAAGCCTGTTTACTCAGAAACAAATCCCCTGAAATTCAATGGATCTGCCCCCCACCTCCCATATTGCTTGGAAAGCCTGTTGAATGGCTTGGATAAGACCCTTCCTTCCCTGGATCCCAAAATAATCTGCCATCTGTCCCTCACCACTCCAGATTATCCATCAAGCACACCAACAAAGCTAATCATTTCTCAGTAGCAATGTTAAAAGGTTTGGGGAGGAGGAGGGGAGTCTGCAAGACTGATGGCAACAACAGAGAAGCTATTTTCATATCGATCATTAATTTCTGCAAATGTGCTTGCTTGGCATTGGCTTTCCTGGTGGTGTCCAGCCCCACAGTTGGTGCACGATGGCCATGGTGGCTCACAGGTGAGGAAAAAGGACTCTACAGAAAGAGGCAGTGTTGTGTAGTGGTTAGATCGTTGGTCTAAAACCTGTTTAAACAGGACTCTAAGGAAAAAGGATTTGATGAAAGTGGTTCAAAGTTTGAATTAGAGATATTAAGTAATGATTTAAAAATTTTGTCTGAAATGTCTAAATTGCTGCTTGAATGGCATTTGAAGGACGAGGAGGTTAAGTCGGTTATGATTCACTGGGCCAAAGATTTTGGGTATAATATACAGCTCAGCGATTGGGTAAAATTATGGAAAGAAGGTTTAAAATTTACTGCATGCAATGCCCTAAAAGAAAATGTGATGAAAATGATGTATAGATGGTATATTACAACTGTTAAGTTAGCAAAAATGTATAAAGTCAGCAATAAATGTTGGAAATGTAAAGAAAAAGAGGGAACATTTTATCACATGTGGTGGGAATGTAAAAAGGTGAAATGCTTCTGGGAGATGATATATAATGAGATGGAAAAAAATGTTGAAATATACATTTATAAAGAAACCAGAAGCATTCTTATTGGGCATTGTTGGGAGTGATATAAATAGAAAGGAATATAAGCTCTTTTTATATGCAATAACAGCAGCAAGAATATTATTGGCCCAAAAATGGAAGCAAGAAGAATTACCTACGATTGAAGAATGGAGGATGAAGTTGATGGACTATGCAGAAGTAGATAAACCAACAGGAAGGATTTGAAACCGGCGGGACCAGAAATTCACGGAAGACTGGAGTAAATTTACGGACTATTTGAAAAGTATTTGTGAAGATCAGACGATGTTTGTAGGTTTGCAAGAAGTTTTGTGAGGAGTATTATTGGAAGTATTGCAAAAATGGAGAAGGGGAAGGATGATTTGTTAAGAGATGTAAAGGCAATATAAAGTTAAGAAATGCATAATAAGTGGTTAAAACGGTGGATCATCAGAGGTGCTGATGGAAGTCTAAAAAGATTGTATAAGTGATAAGTTTTGTGGTACATTTTATAATTTGTATGTTAAAATCAATAATTTTTTTTTTATTATTTTTTTAAAAAGTCGTTGGTCTAAAACCTGGGAAACAGGGTCTCTAGTCCCCCACTCACGCAGGAAGGATAAAAATGGGGAGAACTACATGCAGCATCCTGGAGAAGAAACGCAGCAAAGCACAGGAGCTCAGCGGCAGCTGAGTGAAAAGTCCTAGAAGTTCACCTGCAGTCAATCCGGGGCTCAGGCGCAGCCCTGGTTGAATGCTACCTCTTTGGCGCACGATTCAGGGCAAAACGGGACTTTGCTCTGTTAGATGCTGCGAATGCGATCAACCGGCGGAAGGAGATGAGGCATCTCTGTTTCCTTACTGTCGGAGCCAGCCGTTACAAATGGCGCAGTTTAGCATAAAATAAAGACACAGAGAGCCAGCAATATTTTCAGGATGGTATGAGCAGCTCCTTTTCGACCTTCTCTCCTCTCCCGTAGCTTTTTTATTATCCTTTGTCTCTCTCCAGCCGCATGGCCGTTCGCCAATGTCTCACGTTACCTCATCGGGTCAAGGCTTTTATTACACCCATCACCATATAGGGTCATCACCTCCCAGAGGAAACACAACTCCATTTAAGGTCAATACATTCCAATACATTGTAAAGCTCAGAGTGCTGGTCAGCCGAGGTCAGGGGGCACCCTGCAATATTACAAGCCTTTGCCATGGCTTTATGACTCCCACACCTTACCTTTCGGTAGAGGCTGTTGGGATGCTTCGATTTCCTTGCAGACCCTCCGCTTTGGCCCAGACCCTTTGACTCTGCCTGGCCCGCTGCCAGCTCCATGGCCCTGTCTTCTGGAGACTGCGCAAAGCAAGAGCAAGGTTGGCTTTTTCGTTTTGTTTTTATTTGGCTCGATGCGCCGTTTTCATTCCCCTTAAGTAAAAGGGATTCACGCCTCCTCCTTCCAAGGTGTCAGCAGCTCCTCCTCTGGTCGGTGGATAGGCCGCCTTCCTTAGCAGATGCTCCATCCCCTCCCTCTCTTCTACACACACACAAACACACACCTCAAAACCCCACAAAAGGACTGCAAAACTTTGGCACCGGTTTGGAGTGAATCAGACAATGTTGGATTTCTGGGTGTTAACTATGAACCCCGGTTTGATGTATCAATTCCCAAGTTGGGGAGCAAAACAAGGAGTTCATGCTACAAAACTTTGCCACTGGTTTGGAAGGGTCAACAATTCCGGGGTTTGTAGTTAATGCAGCTGTTTTGCTTCTATCCAGCTGAAGATGCTGGTACAACCTCCCCCCACCTGGTGCTCCCAGGTGTTTTGCACTATTCCCATCTGCCCCAGCCAGCACCTGTGCTCTTAAAAGTGCTTGAGTGTGGAAGGCATCGCCAGGGCCGTATTTAGGTTTGATGAGGCCCTATGATACTGAAGGTAATGGGGCCCTTTATATGTCCAGCTGTCCTTTGTCAACAACAAATTGTTGCTTTTTTTGTGTGCTGAATATATGCTATATGGTAATTTATGGACCTAATAGGTATCTAAAGCCATTTGCACATAACAAAATATGTATTTTATCAAAGTAATTGTTGAACTGAAATACAATTAAGAAGAAGTATATTAATAGTGAAATACAATTAAGAAGAAGTATAGAAGGGACGTGGGTGGCGCTGTGGGTTAAACCACAGAGCCTAGGACTTGCTGTTCAGAAGGTCGGCGGTTCGAATCCCTGTGACGGGGTGAGCTCCCGTTGCTCGGTCCCAGCTCCTACCAACCTAGCAGTTCAAAAGCACATCCAAGTGCAAGTAGATAAATAGGTACCGCTCTGGCGGGAAGGTAAACAGCATTTCTGTGGGCTGCTCTGGTTCGCCAGAAGCGGCTTAGTCATGCTGGCCACATGACCCGGAAGCTGAATGCCGGCTCCCTTGGCCAATAAAGCGAGATGAGCGCCGCAACCCCAGAGTCGGCCACGACTGGACCTAATGGTCAGGGGTCCCTTTACCTTTACCTTATATTTTTTGGGGGGGCCAAGAGAGTGGGGCCCGAAGCTATAGCTTGTTTAGCCACATCCAGTTGGGGAAACTTGCTCTGGGCAGAAGAAAATAAGAGCCAGAAGGGTTTGGGGGGCATGATTGGTGATGGGTGGCTGTTATGTGTGTGTCTCTCTTCAACAGTGGTACTTCTGTCTCATGAAAATTGTGGGTAGCCCTGTTGACCTATAAGAAATGGCTGCAACAGTCATAAAGTGTGTGTGTGTGTGTTGTACTGTTAATAAGAATTAAAAAGAAACAAAGCTTACAACAGAATTTTTATTAGGGACCAAGTTAATGTGCAAAGTAGTCCCAGAGCTATTGAACAGGATTACACTCCGACTTCTCACAAAATGTGTGTTTTTCTGTGAAGCTTGCGGTACAACTCCTTAGGCCTCGTCCCTGTCTTGAAATGATGCTTAAGCATGTAGTATTTTACATGCAAATCTCTTGGCTGGTTTTAAAAGCGTAATTAGTGCTTTACGTGCTTTGTGGTGTTTGCATCCTTACAGCTGCTCTGTAAGGTGGGTCAATATTATTTCCCAGGCTGCAGCTGGTTTGCTTAAGGGCAACCTAGTGAGCCCTAGGGACACGGGTGGCGCTGTGGGTTAAACCACAGAGCCTAGGACTTGCAGATCAGAAAGTCGGCAGTTCGAATCCCGCGACGGGGTGAGCTCCTGTTGCTCGGTCCCTGCTCCTGCCAACCTAGCAGTTCAAAAGCACGTCAAAGTGCAAGTAGATAAATAGGTACCACTCTGGCGGGAAGGTAAACGGTGTTTCTGTGCACTGCTCTGGTTCGCCAGAAGCGGCTTAGTCATGCTGGCCACATGACCTGGAAGCTGTACGCCGGCTCCCTCGGCCAGTAAAGCGAGATGAGCGCCGCAACCCCAGAGTCAGCCACGACTGGCCCTAACGGTCAGGGGTCCCTTTACCTTTACCTTAGTGAGCTCAGGGCAGATGTGAGATTTGAAGCCAGGATTTGCTGATTGGTAGCTGGGTCACTTTTCACACTGAAACAAGTGATTGTTACATTTAAGGAACATTCTTAAAAAACACATTTGGATACATTCAGAAAAGTATAGCATAGTACAGTATATTGAGGAAAAATACATTTCAGTAAGGATACATTCATGGAAAATTACATTTCAGTAAGGATACATTCAGATACATTCTTTAAGTCAATGAAAAAGACACAGCAAGGATACATTCAGATCAAAATGATATGTGAGATTGCAAAAATGATACATTCTCAATTGATGCATTCTCCAAGGCACAGTTTTTTAAGGCAGAATTCTATACTTTTGATATTGGTAGGGTCATTTTCCTTTATTCCCCTCTCTGACCCTGAACCTCTTACGACAACACCAACCACAGCAGCTCCTGCACACGTGATGAATTTCTCTTACTATCCTCTCCCCATCTTCTTTCCCTTTGGTACCCTGGTGCTGAATTTTAGATTATAAAATCTCTAGGATAAGGATCCATATGAGAAGACATCTTATTGGCACCTATTAAAATGTTAAGTACATAATGCAATCCTTTGTGGTATGGATAATAAGGCCTGCTTTCAATATGCCTTATTAAATGCTAGACTTCAGCTTGCTGGGGAATGTCTGACAAGAGAAAAGGGCCGGGTCTTCTGTCGCTCCTATGGAGCCGCATGTTGTTGACCCTGTTCTCGCAGTCTACCACTGTCATGCGCACGCAGGCTCTGAATGCTGCTGAGGGGGTTGTGGTGAAAGACAACCAGAGACCTGTGAAATGTTAAACAGGAGCAGGCTGCCAACTATTGCGCATAAAAGCTTCTGAACAAGTAGGGCAGACAATCCGAGCAGCAAGACGGTGGCATTTCATCCGCTGAGCCCTTAAAAGTCCAAAACTTTCCTCAGTTCTGAACGTATTGTACTGCTGGTTCTGAGCTCAGAAATGATTATGTGTGTGTGGCACTCTCTCTGAACTTCTTCTCTGAACAATTTTGGATTGGTTCACTAGCCTATTTTGTGGTCAGCCCAGCAGCCATTGCTATTTTAAGTGGTTTGCTGAGGTGGATGTTGTGGTACAGAGAGCCACCCAACAATTTTTAAGTATCTAAAAGTGAATTAACCTATAGTGCTTCCACCTATGAGTCCCATACCCTCCAACATTTCTCCAATGAAAATAGGGATGTCCAGGATGTGAGGGTGATCTGGCTGCGACATCTGTCACCCCATTGATCGCCAGGGTTGATTCAGCTGATCTGGCTGGCTAGGCGGGTGTCCCCTTCCTCCCTCACCGCTCCATGTGCGTCCCTCCCAAAGCTGTGTGCTCGGTGGAAGAGGACGACCATCCCAGATAGAAGGAGTGTACCGTTCTTCTGTCAAGGGTATACAATAGCTGTGCTCCCCTGCTAGAACCTCCAAACAAGCTCAAGAAAATAGGGATGTCCTATTCAATAATAATAATTATTATAATAATAATACTTAAATCCCGCCCATCTGACTGGGTTACCTCAGCCACTCTGGGTGGCTTTCAACATATGTAAAAATACAATAAAACATTAAAAGCTTCAGACCCAATGGGAAGTGTAGTTCCAAACAGTTGCAAAGCCCCGGGTTGACATAGGCTGGCATATGCCACTGAAATGGCTTCCTTTCAATCTTCCCCTAACTGCCTTTTGAGATATATGTGTTCCTGGCTGTATTTTCAGATGCAGCTGTTCTATGACAAGTAAGATGAGATTATTGTTGAGATTAAACTTTCTATTAAAAATTCTTAAGGTGGTTTTGGAAGCTGGTGGAGGACCAGCTATCTCAGGATAACTGAACGTGGCACATCGGAGGCATGAAAGAACCTTCAGCAATGTGCGATGGCAGAGGGAGTGACCCTTCATGTGAGAGCAGGGATGGGTGAACCATTATGCCAGTGTGGTGTAATGGTTAGAGGGGGGGTTCCCAACCTTTTTTTGGCCATGCCCCACCTAAGCATCTCTAAAATCCTGGTGCCCTCCCCCCCCATGGCATATAATTCTTATTATTCAAAAAGTGAATTCCTTTTCATGTGGAGGAAGCCTAAAAGCCCATTCACTGTTAATAACTCATTCTCGAATTGCCCCCCTTAAAAATCAAATTGCCCCCCTGTGGGGCATGTTGGGAACCACGGGGTTAGAGTATGGAACTATTTCCCCATCAGACAGCCAATAAACAGTTTTTAAATTGTTGTTGTTGTTTAGTCATTTAGTCGTGTCCGACTCTTCGTGAACCCTGGACCAGAGCACGCCAGGCACTCCTGTCTTCCACTGCCTCCCGCAGTTTGGTCAGACTCATGTTTGTAGCTTCGAGAACACTGTCCAACCATCTTGTCCTCTGTTGTTCCCTTCTCCTTGTGCCCTCCAGCTTTCCCAAAATCAGGGTCTTTTCCAGGGAGTCTTCTCTTCTCATGAGGGGCCAAAGTATTGGAGCCTCAGCTTCAGGATCTGTCCTTCCAGTGAGCACTCAGGGCTGATTTCTTTAAGAATGGATAGGTTTGATCTTCTTGCAGTCCATGGGACTCTCAAGAGTCTCCTCCAGCACCAGAATTCAAAAGCATCAATTCTTCGGCGATCAGCCTTCTTGATGGTCCAGCTTTCACTTCCATCATTCTCGAATTGCCCCCCTTAAAAATCAAATTGCCTCCCTGTGGGGCATGTGCCCCACATTGGGAACCATGGGGTTAGAGTATGGAACTATTTCCCCATCAGACAGCCAATAAACAGTTTTTAAATAACTAAAAGCAAATCACGTGGGAGAGCAGGGTTTGAATTTCCACTGGGCCATGAAGTTCACTTGGGCCAGCTACCCTCTCTTAGCCTAACCTACCTCGCAGATTTGTTGTGAGGATGGAATGGGGAGGAGGAGAACCACCCTGAGATCCTTGGAAGGAAAAAGTCACTTAAAAAATGAAATGAAATGAATGAACTTGACTGCCCATGTTTCCATGTGTAAAACGCTGGAGGGTTTACATGCCTCCGCTGATGACCAGCAAGGCCAATGAGCCTTACACTGATCCCACAACAGTTTCCACCTTCTAGATGGAACAACCATGTATGGGGAGGGCAGAGTAAGGGTGAGAAGGGACCAGGGGCATCGCAGTCATTGTCTGCTTAGGGGCTTCAGCAGTGCATGTTCATGGCAGAAAATAGTATCCACATTCACACCATACATTTAAAGCACTATGAGACCATTTTAAACAGTCATGGTTTCCCATAGAGAATCCTGGGAGCCCCAGTTTGTTCGGAGTGCTGAGAGTTGGGAGGAGACTGGAAGAAATTTAAAGACTATCTACAGAAATGCTGTAAAATTAATGAATGTTAGAATGATGTTGGAATGAAGCTAAGGGGTTTTTAGTAGCAATGCTACAAGGAGTATGTAAAAATGGACTGCTAACAGATGAGAATATACAGTTATTATATTTTAAGATAAAGATCTAAGATAAAAACAAAGAGGGAAAGGATTTGCTGAATTTAACTTACTGAACTGGAATACAAAAAAGGGGAGGTGTGAGGAGGTCAGGGAAACAAGTGAATGAAAGACAAAATATGGAAAGATTGATTTGTTTTTAATTGTTTTTACTTTTTTTGCATTTTGTATTCTCTTCTTTCTTTTTTATTCTTTTTCTTTTTTTTCTTGTTCTTATTATTATTGTAACTTTTTTTATTTTTGAAACTTTAATAAATATCTTATAAAAAAAAGAGAGAGTTGAGAGGAGACCCCCCCCCCCATTCCTCTCCCCCAGCTCCAGTTCCTAGAGCGGTTTAACAAACAATCCTTCCTCCTGGTGAACCCCTAACTACAACTCCCAGCATTCTTGGGGGGTGGGGGGGGGAGTCATGACTGCTCAAAGTGGAATTACATGGCCGGGAAGTTGCCAAAAGGTTGCTTGACCTCACCCAGCCGGGAGATGTCAGCCTAGCAGGTACATTCTGAGCCTCCTGCTTGAATGTGCATAGGTCCTCCTTGCCTTTTCCTGCAGAAACCTGAATGTTTGCTGCAAGACATAAATCACTTCTGCGGTTTGAGAAGCCTAAAATATGCCATAAAATTCACTTTTGAGAAGCCTAATCAAGGCGTTGACAGACATCAGTCAAAGTTACTCCAATTCCATCTCTGTAATTGTCTCCTTGTTCTTCTTCTTTCAGCATCTTAAGGAGGTCATTTTAAGGGGGAAATGCCATTTTTTCAACCTTATGGGCTGGTTCTCCCTCCCCCTCCCTTCACACCTTAATTCACCTCCTGCAGCTGCTTTTCCCATCCCCTGCAGAGACAGACTGGAATTTCACAGTGCTTGCATAATGGTTCCCAATGTTCTTTTTTGGAGGAAGTGTGTCTCTCTTATTGCAGCAGGAACCAGGAGGCATGTGATGATGATGCAGAGCTCCCCCCCTCCAAAAAAGACCTTCACAAGGGAGGGAGGAAGAGGAAAGTTTCACCCCACAGTGCTACCTGAGTGATTTCACCTGAGTGTTTACCTTTACCTTTTACCGGTACCTTTCAAGAGAATTTGTCCCACATTCGAACAAGTTTTTGCAGGTTCAAAGCTCTGCACATACATACTCTCAACAAACCTTACAAAGAGCCTTGTAAGGGGGGGCCAATATTCTTATCCTCATGTTGCATATTGGGGGGGGGGGTTAATACCTAAGACCACCTAGTAAAGCTAGAATTGAGCCTCAGAGTATGAAGCCCACACACTTCTGCCAGCCATCAATAATATTAGGAAGCACACCCACTCCCCAAACCTTATGGGAATTATTATGTGAGTTAATTCAGGTAATTTTACATGGTTTTCTTCATTCTCCAGAGGCTCTGTCACAATAAGGGGAGAAGGCCAGAGCCCCAATTCAGAGCACATGTTCCATGAACAAATGGTCTCTGCCTTTCCAAGTATCACCAGGAACAACAACGGTTTGTGTAAATACTAAACTACAGTGACCAATGGCCTGGCTTCGTACAAGGCTGTTTCCTTGGTTCCTCATCCCCTTGCCAGATGTCTTCCAGAGCATCAGGGCTCCTTGGGGAGAGGAAGGGGAAACTGCAAAGCGTGTAGGCCAATTCACACAACTAAAGACACACAATGTGACTATGGCTTGAGTAGTTCCACGCAGTTATGAGCCGGTGATTCAACTCGCTGCTCAGCTCTGATCTAAACAGGCAAAACCTGTGGCCAAAAAAATGGTGGCATAAAAGAAAGTGAAGATAGGACGTTTAGGGGATGGTGGATTTGGAGTGCAGAAATTTAGAAAGCAACTGAGGGCAATGCCTGCTGAAATGTCCAAAGCCACAGGGCCGGGGTGGGGGGAGGCTGAGCAAGATTTCTAAAAGCCATAGGTGGTGTTGGTGCTGTGCCCTGTGATTGGCTCCTTTCCTCCATCCCCATAGCTAATAAATAGGAACAAATACTCCTCTGTGGAGTTTGCAACCTAAATCATGCAAAAATAGTCAGCCTTGTTGTTCTCGTTCTTTCCCTTTCCCAATTTGCAAAGCATGACGCCTGTGCTCAGGAGAGCTTTTGCTACACATGAATCACAGCTGGGTTTGGATTTGCTGGTTGTTCTTCGTACAATTTGCATGGGAATATCTCCCAACTGGGGACTTTCAGAATGATGTTAATGAATAATTATGCATTTCTCCCGAGAGGAGTTGTTGTTCTTCTAATTGAGGTGGTCTAGAAAGGTGTTAGTAAACTCCAACATAGCATAACTCCAACAAAACTCGGAGGCCTGGATGGTGGAGTAGGGTTGCCATATTTCAAACAGTGAAAATTCGGGCAGAAAGGTTGTTGATCAACACTGCCAACATGGGCTGCCATATGTCCTGATTTTCCTGGACATTTGGGCGATTTCCACCCAGACACTGCTGGTGAATACAGTATTCTGGATATGTCCAGGAAATTCCAGACATATGGCAACCCTACAGTGGAGGGGTGTATGGGGTGTTAGGGGAGAGGTAGTATCTCTTGTGGGGGAGACATCGTGCTCCTTTTGGGGTAGTTTGCCCACCTTTGGTCCCTACCTGCACTCAGCTCTCACCTGTGGCTCCTAGAAGCCGTCAGCATGCAACAGCAGCCACACCCCGGGAAATGGCTTTGACTGGCTGGCTAAACCAGGTGAGGGTAGCTGATGGATCTCAAACCCTCAGTGAGTTAGGGACCTCCCCTGCATGTGAAGACAGGCTCTTGTGGATTGAGCAGATGAGACCAACGGTCAAGAAGGCAGTTTCTGTTAGGATATTCCATTCCACCTTACAAGGAGCAGGCATGATTGTTGTGTGTCACATGCCTGTTTACAGTCCAGCACAGCTTGCTGGGAACTTCCGTTTTGTGTATAGCTTTTGCTTATGCTGCTTGCTTGGACATGAAAGGGAGAATTCATGTTTTTCCTTTGTCCTGAATAAATTGCTTGTAAATATGCTTTACATATGCCTCTATCTGCCCTTCTTTGCAAA